TCCTTCTCCACCATTTCCTGTGAATAGGCCTCTTTGATGTACTTGCCCAGCTTTTCATGTTCGCTATCGCGAAATCCACTAAAGCGATGTAGCGCTCCGCTCTTGGTAAAGATGCGTAGACCCCAGGTACCCACGAACTTTTGGGAATTGATGAGATCAATATCCTCCGCGGCAATTTGCTCCACTTTGCCCGTTTTATTGTTTTTAAAGATTATGTTCTGTTCAGTGAGCTTCAGGCGTCCAGACGACTGAGGCCAATAAATCCATTAAATAATATTGCATTAGGTAGCAAAGAAGATGACAGAGGAAGGGAAAACAGATGTTAGACAAATGTTGCTGGCAATTTGTGAATCAGACTCACCAAAACGCCGCGCACTTCGGCGTTTATGTCATTGTACTCCAAGGCGTCCACCATTTTCAATGTGCCCTGCACTAAATAATAAACCAATAAACTATCAATTACACCACTCTGCGTAATTTATAAAACTAAAAAGACGCAAAAAAATTCGACACGAGAGAAACGCCAAGAGCCGACTGCGCGCCTAATTTTAGGTTAGATGCTAGAGGTGAGATTTGTTTCACAGAGTTGCTACTTGTCACGAGTATTTTAAGGTATCGGCTTACAGCTGTACGTAATGTGAACACTTTAGATCTAAACAGCAGTAATATAATTGAAATATTATATAGAAATATATTTTACTTCCATATTTCTTTATCCATTATGTTCAATGCACTCAAACAAATTTCTTTTCGATATCATTCCTAATTTTAACATACTTTTAACATCAAGCAGAACACATATAAATATTTAACTCCCCTTCTCATCGTTCATTAACATCCTCTATAGACCTTATAATAGTACCATTTACAATTCGAACTGACCGAATAGCTACATATAAATAGTGCATTTTCATTTCATTTTTAAATACTACCGCAGCAGTCATTATTAGTCTCAACTGTAAAACCAGTCGCAGTATTATAAATATCGATATGTATTCAAATATCGATATATCGATAGCTGAGAATAGCTAAACGAAATCCCAACCTTAGCGCGAGTAAAAACAATAAACACGAATTAAATTTTTTAAGCCGTATACAGAGAAAACCAATCCGTAGAATGCAGCGCGGAAAGATTTCGTTTGGCAAAATACAGCTGAACGTTAGCAAGACGCCTGCTGAGTCCAATGAACCCGCCCAAGATGCCGGTGGCTTCAAGAAAATGGACAAGCAACAGATGATACGACAAATTGAGGATGTAGCCGAGGATCTGGAAAGTCAACACCTTAAAGATGTGATGGGCATAAGCGGCTTTGGCCGCAAGGCCGCCAAGGTGTTTGACATCAGTGAGCAGATCGCTAAGGCGCGCACGTTTGCTCCACCTGTCCAAGAACAAGAGGCGAATGAGGAAGACGAGGATGTTATAGGCCCTTTGCCGCCAGCTGCGGACGCGGGAGCCCAGCAGCAGCCTGATACAAACACCAAAAAGGAAACCAACGAGAAGGAGGATCAGGAAGATGATGAAGATGAAAATGAGGATGATTCCGATGAGGATGAGGAAACGTTATCGCGGCGTATACCTTACACGCACGAAGTGCAAATGCAGCACGGATCACGGGCAGTATTGGCCCTTGCTGGGGATCCATCCGGCGCACGTATTGTGTCGGGCTCCATTGATTACGATATGTGCTTTTGGGACTTCGCCGGCATGGATTCAGCTATGCGCAGCTTTCGCCAGCTGCAGCCGTGTGAAAATCATCCCATACGTGGCCTTCAGTACTCCGTTACAGGCGACATGATCCTGGTTATCTCGGGCAACGCCCAGGCCAAGGTGCTAGATCGAGACGGATTCGAGAAACTGGAATGCTGCAAGGGGGATCAATACATAAGCGACATGACGCGCACCAAGGGCCACGTTGCGCAACTCACATCTGGCTGCTGGCATCCTTTTAACAGGGAACAATTCCTGACCGCAGCACTAGACGGCACACTGCGCATCTGGCAGGGACTACGAGCCAAGGAGCAGCTGCAGGTGATCAAGACACGAGCTCAGGGCGGCCTGAGAACAAATGCCTCCGCCTGTAACTACAATCGAGATGCGACACTAATAGCCGCCGGCTGCGTGGATGGCTCCATACAGACCTGGGATACGCGAAAGATGTTTGTAAATACCACACACTGCGTGCGGACGGCGCACCAAAAGGGTTCGGAGATTACATCCATTGTGTTCTCATACATGGGCCAGCAGCTGGCCACGCGTTCTAATGATGAGACCATGAAGCTCTGGGATCTAAGGAATTTCAAGGACCCGCTGCACACATGGTCGAATCTTTATTCACGTTATGACACAACCGACTGCTGCTTTAGCCCGGATGATCGCATGCTGGTCACCGGCGAGTCGCTGCCCAAGGGCCAAAAAGAGGCCCATCTTTATTTTTACAGCACGCAAAGCTTTGAGCAGGTGCAGCGCATACCCGTAGCTGAGTCGCACGTCATCAAGACGCTGTGGCATCCGAAGCTGAATCAACTTTTTGTCAGCTGCGGCAATGGGATCATCAAATGCTTCTACGATGAACAGCGCAGCATACGCGGCGCCAAGCTGTGCGTGGTTAAGATCCATCGCAAGAGGCAACAGATGGAAATGGTGGGCGTCTCTCAAATTATAACACCACATGCGCTGCCACTCTTCCGGCAGGAGAAGACGCGTTCCTCGCGCAAAAGGATGGAAAAAGCACGCCTGGATCCGGTCAAGTCCAAGCGGCCGGATTTGCCAATTACCAGCGGCCAGGGCGGACGCGTTGCCAGCTCTGGCGGCACTCTCTCCTCCTATGTCATACGCAATCTTGGCCTGAGCAAACGCGTCGACGACGATCAGGATCCACGAGAGGCCATACTTAAGTATGCCAAAGATGCGGCTGAGAATCCATATTGGATTGCGCCCGCCTACAAGCAAACTCAGCCGAAGGCCATATTCTCCGAGAAGCTGCCCGCCGCCGATACAGCACCGGCGGCCAAGAAGCCCAAAACGGACACAGATGGTACATAGTTTAATTAATATTTTTTAAGTACAAACTTAAATAAATCAAGAATGTAGCTACTATTCTTAACTCTCTCTGTCACATATCATACTTGTGCTCTCCGGTTGCAACCTTACTTGATGAATATGAAGTCAGCTTTAAAAATACTTGAAGCTTACCTTAGATCAAAATTTTCTTTTTATGAATGGCCATGGAACGTGCTTTTCCGCGTGACACGACTATTTTCACCATTTCTACTTTGCTTTCATGCAATATTGCGCTCAAAACTATGCAACATTTTATGACAAACATTTAACTTGCATCTATTTCGAGATCCCTTATTGCTTATGTGATCAGTTATGAAGCAGAAATGGTTAATATAAAAAATTAAAACTTAAAACATTACTCTATACAAAAATTAATAAAAGTTCAACTTAATTGTTAGGCTTAAAGAAGTCAATGTATTTTTTAGCTCAATTGGCTTCTGCTGCTTCTCTAAGGTAAATCTACAATAAAAACAGATAAATATATATTATTAGTTGCAGCTTTTGACTAAAGCCCGGTTCGTATTATTTACCTAAATCAGTCGAAAAAAAACGTTACAAAACAGATGTGAAACAGATATTAAATTCAAAAAATGTTATGAAGTAAATAAAGTTTTGGAAAAATTAAATTGAAAATCCAAATTTGTAATCAGCCAACATTATTAATAAATATCAAAGACATTTAATAAGAAATCGTCGTAAAAATGAAAACTATTTTTTTTTTTGTTCTATTCACTCAGTTTAAACTTTTATTAAACATACATATTACATGAGTTCTTGAATTTATTGGTTGATTTTAATTTTGTTTATTTATGCGATACCATTTTTGTTTCATTTATGTAGTATGTAGTACATTCGAATGTGTTGTATGTATTTCATTTAATGGAATGCGCTTCGTGTATAATACTTGTACATTTATGCATGTATGTGTATATTTATAGGTATATAGAGCCGTTTGGTTAAATTGTGGCTCATCATCAACATAATTTAAGTGCACGTGTGCATAATTATTTGAAATTATGCAATAATTTGTTTATAAATAGCCCAAAGATTCATAAATGTGCTGTACATGAGAGCTAGGCATAATAATAATTTGAAAAAGAAAAAGAAACATATCCATTGAATATTATTAACAATATCTAATACAAGTTGAATCCATTAACGATAAGTAATTAATATAGATTTTTGCTTAGTTTTTTATAGGTATGTGTATATATGTATATAGAGTAATTGTTTACATATTAATATCAAGTAAATAGAACCAGCCCGGTTAAATCAAAATTTATATCTTAGGTACATTGCTGCATATTTAACTAGACACCATTTTCGCATTTGTTTCTCTCTGTCTTGTTTTTTCTTCAATTTATTTTCCATTAGACATGTATTTCAAAATAGCCATTTATAATCGTATACATACAAATATGTATGGTATACACATACGCTATGTACTTTTACATAAGTACTAAAGAGCATCTGTTAAATTAACATATTCAACAGTTGATTGTAATGAGGCGGATTTTTATAATATCATTCGTTACAGCATTTGTTTCCTCTCCAGATTTTCTATCCTTATTTAAGTGCTTTTCTCAGTTTTCTTTAGTGTTTTTTTTTAGCTATTTTTTGTTTAGCTCAAATATATTATTCAATCCAACTACATACGTATTTATATTGTTATGTTAACCTTTTATGTTAATCTGAGAAATTAATTCAATGTTAACGAGAAACTTAACTTACAGGATTTCGAAGTATTTTAATAAAATCTCAATAAATATTAAAAAATAATAATATAAATTATATTAAAGCTATTAAACCAAATCTATTATCAAATTAAATTAACATTAATTTGAATCATCTTCCATAATATTTTTAGATTGACATTTCATTGATTTGGTAAATCTTTTTGTCTACACTTGCGTTCTACTCTTTTCTTTTCTATTATAGGTACTTTATGTGTAATTTCCATTTAGTTATGTTTTTCCTGTGTTTTTCATGGAATGTGTGCCATTCATTTCCATTGGTTCCCCTAGGACTATGTGCTGTGATCCTTTAAATAACTCCGCTTTCATGTGATATGATTGCGATGCAAATTATATATGAAATGCTTATGTATATTTTAGATGAGGCCAACAATTTATGTTTGAATTGCTTTCAATAAAATGAACAAAATATTGTTATTTATCTAACTTTGATCTAAATAAGCTATATAAACACTTATGCAAATAGCTGTAACTAATGGCAACGGTAAACAGTTAATAAATAAATAGTATTCGCTTGTGATTAGTTTAATTAGCGCTATGAAAGCAAATGTATTGCTTTATGTATATGAACCTCCAATATAAAATATATTTTTATACATCTTTTGGTTTTGTGTTATTCGTTTATATGGCATATTTGTTATGTAAAAGCACCAAAACCCATAATAAAGCAATGTATTTGGCAATTAATATTGCAGGCCAATGTCCAAGATATGTTTTCGGTTATATATTGTTCATTCTATGACAATGGGTTGCATGTGTGTATATCCATTTATACCCTATACCCATCGAAAGTAAAGGGTCGTATGATTTTGTGCAGGCGTATGTAAACAGGCAGACCCCATAAATTCTATATATATTTTCGAATTATATATATATATATACATATATATGAACGCGTCGATCTCAAAAACTGGAGACGAACTTTGATCCATTTTTTTTTTTGAGATCATTATTAGCTGACACTGTTTTACACGATATCTACTATTATAGAAATTCGCATCTACATGTATAGACGGGGCTTTTAAGAGCTAGGGACACTAGTTTCATACCTGCTCCCGCTTTACCAAAATGTATAAAATAGACGATTTTTGGAGGTATATAAAAATATTATAACGATCGGACTGTTAGTAGAGAAGTTATTGGAGCATGAATATATCATGGTGCGGGGCTAAAAGTAGAATTTAAATTTAATAATTTAAAAGGAAGCTCGTATATTTGCTACGGCATCGCGATGCTGGGTACAGGGCATCTTCTAGTCAGTCACTACCGACTAGAGCACTCTTACTTGTTCTATGATGTTGTGTGCTGTATGCGAGAACTGTTCGTTAACTGGGGGAAGTCACATGGGTTTACTGTGCGAAGGGATTGTGTGGACTGGCGCCGGGTATGTCCAGGTTGCCGCCTGTGGTCTGATAGGTGCCATAGGGTCCTCCATTGGGATTCATTTCGTTCAATCGCGTGTTGGACAGAGCCCGTGGTATGGGATTGCTGGGCACGCCATGTGGAGCCAAATGGGAAGTTTCTTCGGCCACCTGTGAATCGAAGAAACATTTAAGCATATGCCCAAAAATTATCTATACCATATTCGAATGTGCAGGCTATAACTCGTACGGATTCACTTAGGATGGATATAATTTACCTGATGGGGATCCTCGGTGACGGGTATATCCGATATGAAGCCCGTCTCCTTGCGGTAGAAGTTGATGAAGATGAACAGGCCGAGCACGAAGAGACAAGCGATACCATACCAACGGAAGGTAGCAGTAGTACCGTAGTAGGTGACAAACATGCCACCAATGATGGCACCGCAGCCGCGACCTAAGCCATGATGGATGCCCTGGAGCACGCCCTGCGACGAGGCGCGCAGATGCTTGGGCGTGTTGTGGGCAATGTAGGAGCACGAGGCGGCCCAAACGGCGGCGTGTGTGATGCCCTGCATCAGTTCGAAGGGCAACACCATCCATGGATTGGTCAGATACGAGATGTACAGAAAGCGCAATACATTGCCGATCAGGCCCAGACAGAGCACCTTGACGTGCCCAATCTGGGTGATCAGGCGAAAGCTGAAGAAATAGGCAAAGATCTCGGACACATGATTGATGACGGAGGCGACGCCGAAAAGTGTGGGCGTGCCGCCATAGTCTTGCAAATGCCAGAACAGAAAGGTGAAGATCAGGCCAATGCCGAAGCCCATAAACCAAGCGACAAACAGAAACGAGGCGGTCTTAAGATCCTTGAAATGTGTAAGCACTGTCACCCACTCGGGCAACTCCTTGGCCGTCTGTGCAAACACCTTGGACTCGGCCCCAATGTGCGGCTGCGGCTGATGGCCGGCAGCACTGAAGCTGCTGACGCCGCCAGCGCAGGCACCTGAAGCGGCGCTGCCGCTACCCACTGCCAGTGATGGTAAATTGAGCTGGGCGGCCAGCTGGTTCATCGATTCCTCCTCGGCCTTTTTGTTGGGATCCACAAACTGGGCGGAAGCCTGCTGCTGGCTCTCATCGATGGGCTCGTACTTGAAGGTGATCTTTGAGGCCGAGATAATGGCGCAGGTCATCAGCACCGAGAAAATTGAAAAGCAAATATTATAGTTTTTCTCCTTGTTGCCGGCGCCGCATGGATGATTCGAGAACGAGGTGGAGTGATCCAGGGCGATGCCCACCAAAAACATTGAAATTCCCCAGCCAAGCGAGCCGAACATGCGCTGATGTCCATACTTATCCGCATCCTCGCCGAGCAGCGTTATGACCGCCGAGTCGGCCAATGTTATGGCCGGAGCACTAAAGAACTCACCAATCAGGATGACCAACAGCAGCAGAAAGAATGCCTTCTGTATGTCCTGCAATACGAACAACAAAATGTGCCACTCAGCAGGCTCTTAAGATGCTCTCAACTCGATTACTTACTGGCGTGCGGTACACCATGGAGCTGAAGATGGGCGTCACATAATCCCGATGGTGCTTATCATCGTAGTTGCTCACGAAGTTGATGTGCACCGGCGATATGCCCGCATCGATGCGTGGCAACAGCAGCGATCTCTTGTGTCTGCTGTGCCGCGACACCGAATCCGACTGCTCGATGGCCTCGTCAGCCAGCATATCGTCATCGTAGTCGGCCTGCTCGTGCTCCAGCTGGCTAGTCGGCTCGTACATGGCAGAGGTGTCGCGCTTGGTGCGCGTATAGGTGAGCACAAAGTCGGTGGCATTGCGGCGTTCGATGCAGTTGACGGCCTCCGGGCGTATGAAGCTCAACGGTATGGTGAAGAGCACCCAGCAGGCGAGCGAGGCGAGCAGCAGCTTTTTGCCCTGCCGGCAGCGATCTGCATAGGAGCCCCAGAACGGTGCCGAGAGGAACTCGACAAAGGGTCGCATGCCAACCAGTATGCCGCACTGGCCGGGATTCATGCCCATCTGCTTGAAGTAGACGCCCATCAGCGGGAACAGCGAACCGAACGCTGCATAGAAGAAGAAATAAAAGCTCTTCACCGGTATCAGCTCCTGCTCTGTGCCGCCAAAGAACATTTCCAAGACTCCCGAAGCGCCGCGCACTTTGTGCGTTGAATCCTTTGCTTCCGGATACCTGCACAGCAAACATCATCTCCGATTGACAGCAACAACTCCAAGCTACTTACATGTTGGGATCCACTTCGCCGCTGGCCTCGACGTCGACGCGCGGCCTGGCGCCCGGTGGTCCATAGCCAGGGGCCTGTTGCTGTCCAAAGCCCATGCCTGCACCTCCGCCCTGATCATAGCCAGCCGTTGGCTGCTCCTCGTAGCCATAGCCCATGCTCGACTGCTGGGGCTGAACGTAGCCGGGCGTGCCAAACGGATTGGCCGCACCACCAACTCCTCCACCACCGACCGCAGCATTATAGGGATTCATTTGTAGGCGCACTCAACCCTGACAGTGTCTGTGTGCTATTATGCTCGCTTCCCGTTTCCTGACACTTCCTGCCCTGCAGCTCTTTTGTTTCAACTGTGCTTTTGTGCGTTGCTGCGCTACACGACTACAGCATCATCCTTGTTATTTTCCTTTAGCAGCTGTTTACGAAGACAAAGGGCCAATTAGTGCCAAACGCTTTGTAAATGCTCGCCGCCTGCAAGGGGGGGCGTAGCTGGCAACAAGTATGCTCGATTTAGGATCAAACAACAATTCTCAAAGTAAAGTCTGTGTTGAACCTTAAGGCGGGGCATAGATTTGAATCATGAAACCGAAACGAACCAGATCCAACGTACAACTAGATAGATTGCCTTGCCTTGCATTGGGACCTATGGTAAAATCGGAAGCAACTAATCGCTTACCTATCACATGCTCATTCTCACCTGTTGAGCATAGGACTTAACTGAACATGATTAAACCAAAAATTATTGAGACGAAACAAACCCAGTGAATAGACCAGGATTGACCAAAGACTTTCAGCAGTCACTGTCATGATTTCCCTACGCATGTCCCGCTAAACATTGAAAACCCACATTTCATAATAAATGGAAAAGCGAATGATACAATAAGAAACTGATTGAGCGGGTGAGCTGTTGAATGCTGCAGGGAGAGGGGGCGCCAGAGGGCGCTCAGCATTGCTTGAGTGAGTTAGTTGCATTAGCTTTGAGCTTTGAGCGTCGCGACGAGTTCAACTGAGCGAATGAGTGAATTTCGGTGAGTTTTGTGCCTTGCAGCTTTCCTTTGCTTTTTTTTTTATCACACATACGCACTGTTGGCACGTTCTAAATGTAGGTAAGTGGGTTTGTCTAACATATACATACATATGCATGCGTGCTAGTGTCTGTGTGTGTGTGTGTGTGTGTATGTATATAGAGCAGACTTGTTGTTGTGGTTTTTTTCTTTCTTCATTCAAATAAAATATCTGCTTAAATTTTAAGGGTGGATGTGTAAAGTCGATTTATTTTTGCCTAAACATATGGTGGAACATGAATGTATATACTACTATATATATATATAGTGGAAATAATAAAATATTTGGTAGAACGCAAAAAAAAAGTAGTCCTTGAATTACACAACGATTTAAATGACAAGCACTTTAAATAGACAATCCACTTGGCAGAGCTGCTCTGCATAGTTCTAAGCATGCATATATTTGTGTATGTGTATGTGCATGTGTATGTGTATGTGGTCTATATACACGGATAACTTGTGCAGCATTTTGAAGGCCAACATTTTAAAGACATCAACGAAAAATTGTACAGCACAAAGCACTGTCACCCAAAACAGTATCAGATTTTCATTATGAATTTCTTGAGGTTGTCTTTCTAGAACTGTTTACACACCAATATTGTTAGCACATTTATTTGGAATTTTCACGGTAATAGCTGAAGGCAAGTGTTACGTGCGTAATCGATAAGCAAAGTTTTTCCACAGACAAGTCGCGTCTTGCCTCTATACGCGCATTTGACAATTTATTCAGCGCACACGAATTTTTCAAGAGCCAAAAAAACGCTCAAGAACGAGGAAAAGCGGAAAACGGAAAAGCTCGCTCAAGCGCGTTTCGTATGCTAAACTTAATGAGATTTGACACCGCCAACTGGCGACATAAGCAGCGCCGGTTAAGAGAGGGCCCGCCGCCCAAAAGAGAACTCAAAAGCTGTCAGCTTGGCGCCAATCATTTCTAGCACTTAAATCATATTAAAGTTACATTTGACGACTTTTCAAATCAAATCGGAAAGCAAGTCAAGTATAAGACTTGATTGAATTTCTGCAGCACCAAGTTAGAAATAAATTGAAAATTAAATTTTAAATATATGCATACAATATATATTAAATATTAAATATCAAGAGCAATATGATTTCTTTATTTATTATTATTTATTTATTATTCCAAAAAAATGCACCAAAATTATCTCGTTTGTCATTCGGAAATAGATGCCGAACCTAACAATTGATAAGAGTCACTTAAGAATATACATTGCCTAGCATAATATAATATACTCTATTCACCAACCGCATGTAAAACTTTTTGCTCGAGCAACACGCAATTTGTCATTTTTTTGAATTCTGGAAAAACCAGAAATTCCCCACAAAAAATGTTTGTTTGATGGCAGCGCAAATTAAGATTTATTTGATGTGATCTTCTACGTCACGAGCTGGTTTTATGGCAAAACGACTTTTGCTGATAAAGCTGTATACCCTATACGTATGAACATACCCTATATGTTTAATCTGTATGATTGTATATAGAATATTATTATCATAATTAAATACTTCAAATTATACAAAGTAAGTATAAAATTGGCTCAGTGTAAGCTTTAAGTTGCGAGTTTCGCTCAAGCGTAAAACTTCGCTTTCTCTCTCTCTTGCTGCTTTCGCTCTCCTTTTCTCTTTGCAGTCGACTGTGTCTGCTCCTGCGCAAAAAATTCAATTAGGTTTTGCCAAGAACTCGACTCAAATTGAGCGCCATTTTACTCAACGCTCTCTCTTGTGGTCATTCAAGTTTTTGTGCCCAGCTCTTTTTCGCTCTCCCTTTTTGTCTGCTAATAAACCGTTATGGAGTGGAGTTCAAGGAGCTTCTTAAACTCCGTGATGTAAATGTGTATGTATGTATGTTCATTGAAGCTTGGATAGCTGTGTATATCGTGGTAAGTTGATCGGTCGCACATTATGCACTTACACAATCAAGTCTGAAAGCCTTTTTTGTGTGCAGATTGAAAGAAACTTCTGATTAATGCCTTAAAACGAGGCGCAGATGTCCCAATCGAGTCTCCTTCCGTCCAGCTGCAGCTTAAAGCTTAAAAACCACCGCACAGTGAACGCAACAAGTGAAGGCAGGCAAACAATTTGTTTGGCTCAAAGCCACGCGCGGGGATTTACTTGGGAGTCTGCTGATAAGACAGACAAGACAACAGAGAGCGATGTCAGCGCGGGTGAATCACAATCAGCTAGCCTCGCATAGTGTTTCCCCAGAACAAAGGCATTTGTATATAAGCGCCAGCGGTGCCCACAGCCATCATCAGTAATCAGGAATAATCCCTCAAAGCAACATGCAAAGCAGCAGCATTTTCATCCTGGCCGTTGTTGCCATTGGTGCCTGCGTCGAGGCCATGCCTCAGCGCTTCCAGACGCTACCCTATTATCCAAGACCAACACCGCAACCACGTCCCATTCGAGTGCGCCGCCAGGTCCTGGGCGGTTCACTCACTTCTAATCCGGCAGGTGGTTCCGATGCTCGCCTGGCGCTCAGCAAAGGCATTGGTACTCCCGATCACAATGTCATTGGACAAGTGTTTGCCGCAGGCAATACACAAAAAGGACCAATTACCACTGGAGGATCGGTTGCCTACAACAAGTAAGTTAATGGAACCCTCTTTCCGAGTGAAGTGTTAACTGATGGACTTGCTTTCCCACAGTCATGGACATGGATTTGACCTCACCAAGACCCACACGCCTGGCGTGCAGGACAGCTTCCAGCAGTCGGCACATGCCAATCTCTTCAACAATGGCAAGCACAACCTGGACGCCAAGGTGTTTGCATCTCAGAATAAGTTAGCCAACGGCTTTGAGTTCCAGCGGAATGGCGCTGGCCTGGATTACTCGCACATCAATGGGCACGGCGCCAGCTTCACGCACAGCAACATTCCCGGCATTGGCAAGCAATTGGGCCTGGATGGACGGGCCAACTTGTGGTCATCCCAGGATCGTAACACTCGCCTAGATCTGACCGGCACTGCATCCAAGTGGACCAGCGGCCCATTGAGCGGACAGTCCAACTTTGGAGGTGGACTGGGTCTTACCCATATTTTCGGCTAATTATGTCAATTTGCCATTTACGAATATTTAAATTATTTATTTATAATACAAAATAAAGGAGAAAACCATTTAAAAACTGAATTTGTCACTTTATATTTTTTTTAAGATTTATAAAAAGGGGTTGAAAGTGAATGTGGTTCCAAAAAAATTCCCAGCAGGGCAATAAAAGATAAAAAAATTATTGGGTATTTAATATTGGGGAATTGCGAAGATTTCCCCCTTGTAAGAAGACTAATTATAAAATATTTTATTATGATTTATAGATGATAATCACTTTTCAAGTGTTAATTCAAATCCCAACTGATACGTCGCGTATACATAATATAGTTAAAGTGAAAAAATGCTATTACAACCGAAAATTTTTTACTACAGCTGCAAACTGTACCAAAAAAAAGAAAGTCAATGGCTTTTTGGGATCAGTGAGGGCATATTTGGAGCACAAGGGAAATTCCAAATTTATCTTCTAATTTCTTCACTGTGAAGAATTTTGTCGTATCCCCCGGCAGGATCTCGATCCTGATGCTGCAGACACATCTTGAGCAGCTTGATTTAAGTAACTTAAACAAATCTAAAAGTATTTACATGTATTTCATTAATTTCGACTAATTTAAAAATCCCATATCAAGACAACCGTTTGATTCAAATTTCCCTAGGGAGTAGACAATTAGCCAAGCACAAGCTATAAATTAACTTTCTCTCATTCTCTCTCTCCGCTCCTTCAGTCATTTCTCTCTTTGACTGCTCCTGCGCATGAAATTCAATTACTTTTTGCCAAAAAAAAAAGTCGACTCAAATTGAGTGGCATTGTGCTCAACGCTCTCTTGCGGTAATTCAGGTTTTGTTTCAAACTTATTTGCTCTCTCTTTCCTTTTGTAGACTGCTCTTTCGATGATAGAATTGAGAGGCAATTGAGAGAGGAGCAGTAAGGCAGCCATCTTAAGGTCCACAATGTTTTATGTACGTAAAGATATATTAGTCCATCCCCGGATCAGATCTAGTGGCTTAGTCGCTTCGAGTAGATCACTTTGTGATTTATTGCCTTAATATTAACAATTAATCTTAAGCGACCTTTATTCTCTTAAGACTCAGCTTGAATGTTATGAAAAGTGTAAAAAACTCCAGTCAAATTTCCTTCCGTCCAGCTGCGTCTTAAAAAACCACCGCACTGTGAGCGCAACAAGTGGAGGCAGGTAATCAAATTGCTTGCTTAAAACCACGCGCGGGGATTTACTTGAGAGTCTGCTGATAAGACAGACAAGACAACAGAGAGCGATGTCAGCGCGGGTGAATCACAATCAGCTAGCCTCGCATAATGTTTCCCGAGAACAAAGGCATTTGTATATAAGCGCCAGCGGTGCCCACAGCCATCATCAGTAATCAGGAATAATCCCTCAAAGCAACATGCAAAGCAGCAGCATTTTCATCCTGGCCGTTGTTGCCATTGGTGCCTGCGTCGAGGCCATGCCTCAGCGCTTCCAGACGCTACCCTATTATCCAAGACCAACACCGCAACCACGTCCCATTCGAGTGCGCCGCCAGGTCCTGGGCGGTTCACTCACTTCTAATCCGGCAGGTGGTTCCGATGCTCGCCTGGCGCTCAGCAAAGGCATTGGTACTCCCGATCACAATGTCATTGGACAAGTGTTTGCCGCAGGCAATACACAAAAAGGACCAATTACCACTGGAGGATCGGTTGCCTACAACAAGTAAGTTAATGGAACCCTCTTTCCGAGTGAAGTGTTAACTGATGGACTTGCTTTCCCACAGTCATGGACATGGATTTGACCTCACCAAGACCCACACGCCTGGCGTGCAGGACAGCTTCCAGCAGTCGGCACATGCCAATCTCTTCAACAATGGCAAGCACAACCTGGACGCCAAGGTGTTTGCATCTCAGAATAAGTTAGCCAACGGCTTTGAGTTCCAGCGGAATGGCGCTGGCCTGGATTACTCGCACATCAATGGGCACGGCGCCAGCTTGACGCACAGCAACATTCCCGGCATTGGCAAGCAATTGGGCCTGGATGGACGGGCCAACTTGTGGTCATCCCAGGATCGTAACACTCGCCTAGATCTGACCGGTACTGCCTCCAAGTGGACCAGCGGCCCATTGAGCGGACAGTCCAACTTTGGAGGTGGACTGGGTCTTACCCATATTTTTGGTTAAATGTCAATTTAAATTGGCCATTTACGAATATTTAAATTATTTATTTCTTTACAAAATAAACCAAAAACCAAAATAAATTTTATGTTTAAAAATCAGCCTATTACCTAAGAATTCTATTCGGCTGATAATCAGAGATTGCAAGTGAGAAGCAGTGGTTCCCAATAAAAATTCTCAGAAGGTTAATCAAAAACAAAGAATAATTTGAAAAATCTAGAATTGGAAAAATCTAGAATTTGAAAAGTGCCCCCTTTGTTGGTGAGAATAATTGAGATTGGTTAGGTTTTAATTCGTGTTATTATTGGTTAATTGAATAATTTTACTTATCATATTGCGCACTCTTTTTCTATTGGATAATTACGCTTAGAAATATTTTATTATGGTTTACACATTATTATTACTGCTATTCCCACCAATAAGTGTTTATTTTTCAGCTGTAAGTTGTACCGAAACATACAATGATGTGGTTATAACAAAGTTTATGATTTTTGGGGATCAGTGAGGGAATTTATCAGAGTACAAGGAAAAAACCAAAAATTGTCTTCTAATTTCGCAGATATTCGTTCAGATGATGCGTAGATGTGTGCGGGACATGCGTGTTCACTGTGAGTACTTATGACAGCTTCTTGGCCTTTTGATACAATGTATCCACCACCTTGCCCATGCTCTGGATGGTCTCTAGCACGCGCTCATACGTCTTGTCCACAGGCGTCTCCTCGAACACAATGAGCACACCCTCTCCCTGATCTAAAATGCCGCTAAATTTTTTATCCAATATCATTTGTGATAGTTTCTTTTCCACCTGTGGCATGGGCAGATGAATGCTCTCCGCCACATGGGAAACCTGCAAAGTGAATATGAAATAATGGATTTTTAGCAATTTGAGAATATTTGCCAACCTGCACACGCGAATATGGCTCGATAATGCGGCATAGATTCTGCTCCAGCATGGTGTCGTAGAGTGTACCAAGATGTGCCTGCACAATGACATCTTCTGCCAGCTCCTTCTTGTAGTCCTTTAGTGCCTGCTGAAAGTCGGCCAGCGAGCGTTTATGTGAGGCCTCCGCTACAGCTTTCATGGCGTCAACATCACGGCCGGAATAGGTTATGGCCTGACAGAAACAACAGCGCTAAGTTTGTCAAAGTCTACGATGATTTATACTATTCGTTGCTTACCAACTTGCCGCTAACTATTTGATTGACATCGTCCGACTGGCCCAGCATAATCTTACACAGCAACATGTACTTCAGAGAAGTGAGGGCCTTGACACTGTCGACACTATCGAAACCCTCAAATGCTTCATAGAAATACGAGAAAGCTGTTTTAAAATCTCGCTCGTCGGCTGCATGCAGAATACCCGACTGGAGATCGAGGGCGCCCTGCACTTTCGGGGGACAGTAGATGGCATTAGCCGTGGTACGCGCTGAAGTTAGGGCAGCACGGGCCTTGGGTAAGTTGCTCAGTGCATGATAGGTTTTGCTCTCCAACAGCTGCACCTCCACCAGCAGATTTTTGTCATCCAGTTTTTTGAGCTCGCGCAACAACTGCGAGCCCAAGGCAAGCGCCTCTGTATATAGAGCCGTATCAAAGTAGAGTGCAATCAGGCGCGCCTCCAGAGATTGACGCAAGAAGGTGCGCTTCTCCTGCTTTGCCCACTCTATACAGTCTTTGCAAAGTTGAACCTGCCAAAGAATATAATATAAGCCATCATATGGCTGCATCTAATGGGGCTACGTACCTCAATGCCAGTGCCCGCATCCATATCGAGGAACATGTCGACCAGCGAACGCACCAGCTTCGCGGCCTTTGCCTTGCTGATCAAGCTCAAGAACGGACGAGTCACCTTGATCAAATCGGCCAGTTCTTTGGCCTTGCCCCCTTGTTTGTAGAGCTCACCCAGCTGCATAATGCCCTGCTCCTTAATGCGTATGAGTTCCTCATCGTTTTCAGCCACTTCTTGTTCACGCACAATTTTATTTAACAGGGAAATGCCCTCTTCGCGATTCACACTGGACAGCGCCTGGGCACGTTCGAATAGTGTAGCTCCGGCCATTTTGCTGCTGCTGCGGCGACAATTGAAAGATGAAAGTGGCTACGAGTTTTTTTGAAAGCAAACGTTGGCAAATCGAATAAAAAACCGTGTATTATCTAGTGCACTATCCAGATGCAAGTTTCTTTGTGAGTTTACACTTGCTCTTAAATGTATGTAATGCGTATTTGTATGTTTTTTCACAACTTTAGTAGTATGATGATTGCAGTTGTCGTTGTTATTAAGCGCTAGTCACGATTCGAGATGTGCAGCTGCCGATAGCCACGTGACGGTGCCTATCGAACGATCCTCGATGCAACGCTGCACATGTTAAACGATATATGAACTGGTACTGCTCCACACTATTTTACAGGAAACAAAATACCAGTATTAAATATAATTGATTAAAATATCAATAATATTAAACTCTCTTTATGCAGTATCTTGATTAAACAATTGCAACTGCTGATATTATTTTACGCTCTAGAGTAGTCAGTAGTCAGTTCCGATTAAATACTATCGATAGATATGGGCACAATGTGTGTTAATGGACCGAAAATGGAAAAGTGTAGAAGTTGGTTTGCTGCCTGTCGTGGGTAGGAAGCAAAAGGATTCGCTGGGTCAACAGGTATTGCCCACCAATTTTAAAAGCAAACACAATGGGTGAGGAAATGGCCAACTCAACACAAAACAAGGCGCGAGCCAAAACAACGCGACCCAAAGCTGTTTACCAGTGGACCGTGGATGACGTACAGAAATGGTACCTTCGGCATTGTGGCGAATACAAATCGTATGTGGAGCTATTTCGAGTTGTAAGTTCCAACCACACAGACAGAGACTCACCAGTGCGGTTCCTGGTCCTTTTTGTTATATTCCCGAAGCACTTGTGCCATATTCGCCTGTTGTTCTCAGCTTGTAGTTCAACAGGAACAACTAGCAATTTATCAAAGCCAACGTCAACTCTTTATAATTTTGAACATTTAAGCACTTGGCCTACTGTTAAAAACACTTGTTAACTGTTCTTTCCGTCATTCAGCACGACATTACGGGTCGAGCCCTGCTCCGCATCACAGATTCCTCGCTCCAACGTATGGGCGTAACTGACAATCGAGACCGCGAGGCCATTTGGCGTGAGATTGTGAAGCAAAGGCTAAAAACGGATATTATGGAAATCCGCGATATGGAACGCGTCAACATTCACTAGGACAACTGGAATAGAAGCCAACATATGGTAAGCATTTACCCTGAACATAACGCCACGTGATCACAATGTGAGCATAAGCAGAGGGCAACGTTGGACAATATCCGCGAGTTTTTCAGTGCTTTTCAGCTTGAAGGATCTTAAATACTTCAAATGCGCAATGCAGCAATTATTTGAATAGCAATAAACATTTGAATTGCATAGTTTATTCGAATAATATCTTTGGTACTTGATTAATATCCAATCGTTCAGCTTTAGCCGTCCTTTTCCAGCTTGGGAGTGACAAGCTGAACATCATTGATTTGTGTGCAAATTTCCACCGGCTTCGGCGCGATAGTCCCAGCTGTCCCAGTGGTAGACGACGAAGAAGCAGGTGCCGCAATAACCTTGGGCAGCGAGGTGCCCAACGCGTTGCTGGGCGTGAGTATATGCGGCATGGACACCGTGCCATTGGCCATGGGTAGAGCTGTGGTAAACAGCAGCTTGGGCGGTTGCAAGCGCTGTCCCGCGGAGCCAGCCGCCGAGCCGGAGACTATGAACTGCGGCGACTGATGCGGCGTTCCTGGCTGCACTGCACTGGCAGCTGCCATAGCTGGCTGCAGCAATGTCGGCAGCAGTGTTAGCAAACGTTCGCCTACGGACTTCTCCCAGTCCAGGCGCTCCCGCTCCAGCGATAGGCGATTGTGTTGGATCTCATTGGCCTCGTTTTGGGCGTTAAGCAGCTGGCGCAACATAATACGCATAGCTAGATGCCGGAATGGATCAAAATTTAAAAAAAACCTGCTGACGTTAAGGATTACCAACTGACTCACTTGTCATGTGTCGCTTCGATTGCTGCTCCTCACGCGCCTTCTCCTGTGCGCGGCGTTTCTCCTCCTTTTTCTCCAGCTGCTGAGTTTGCTGTTGTTGTTGCAAATGTTGCTGCTGCTGTTGCTGCTGCTGTTGTTGCTGTTGTTGCTGCTGCTGTTGTTGTTGTTGTTGCTGTGGAATGTACTCCGGCTGCTGGAGCAGCTTCTGCTGTTGCTGCTGTGGCAACGATGTAGTCGCAACCGACGAAGCGTTCGCCTTACCGACCGCTGCCACTGCTTTGGCAGCCGCTGCCTGCTCCGCATTAACCAGCACAAACTTGACGCCGCCCGGCCCCGTGACTAGACCAGTGTTGGCTGCTGTCTGTACGGGTGCCGGGCCAGCGCCGCTAATCATCAAGCGTGCGCCCTGATTGATGGCGCTCTGCAGCAGCTGAAGCTGAGCTCCAGCCGCTGTGCTGACCGCTTTACTGGCTGTCGCATTGTTCGCCTGTTTGGGCTGCATCAGGAAATTCGTGGGCACCAAGGAGATCTTGCCTGGTGTCAGCTTGCCACTGGCCGTACTGCTGCTGGTGGACACTGTGCTGCTGAGCTGGGCTACGCTGGTGCTGGTGCTGATGCTATTGGCCGGTATGATGACATTGGCGCCGCTATAGGGCAGCAGATTGGCAGCTTTGGGCAGCTGCAACATATCTGTCAATGTTGGCATCACAGAGCGGGCTCCGGTGACTCCGGCTCCGGGGACTCCGGTGCCTGTGCTAGCACTTTTTGGCGAGACGGCCCCGGCCTCGTCAACGGCATCTACATCGATGGGCTCCTCTTTCGGCAGCGGCAACAGCATGCAGTCATCGTCCTCTTCGGGTTCGGCGGCAGCCGCTGCTGCAGGAACTGTTGCTGTGCTTGACTCAGCCACTGGCTCCGGCTGGTTGGTTGGCTCAGTCTTTATGCGTGGCCCTGTTGCAGGTGCCTCGTCAATGTTTAGATCTGGCTCGGAAGACAGCTTACGCCGCTTGCCTGCGCTGCTTTTATCGCCTTTGAGCGGCACAAAAGTCTCCTCACTCGTGTCCACTTCCATTTGCACTTCGGCTTCGTTTTCGCCAGCCTCTTCCGGCTTGGACTTTCCGTTGTCGGCATTGGGCACTAGGGACGACAATAGCATATCATCCTCCTCGTTGTCGCTGTCGGACAACTCCTCGCCATTTTCCTGGCGACGCTTGCGCCGCTCGGCGTGCTCCTCCAATGCCTGCTCCAGTTGGTATTTTAGCGAAGGAGCCGGAACCTCGTTGGGACGCACACTGAATATGGGACGCGTCATAATGGCATCCATTTCGGCAAAATGTTTCCAGCTGGGTTCCGTCTCGCCTGCCAGGCCGCACTCCTTGTCCTTCTTGAGACGATTATAGAAGCACTTCAGATTCTTGATGCGCGTCGTGATCTCCTCCGGTGAGCGATGGTAGCCATACTCCTGCATCTTGGCTGCCAGTTGGCATATGACCGCATGCTTCTTGTGCGTGGTTATCAGAGTGCGCTGCAGCTTCGGATCGCCCCACAGCTGAATGAGCAGCTTCGTCTCGTCCGTATCAAAATTGGGATTGCGACCCACGAAATTGTGTTTCTTGCTGAGAGCAGTCTGGTTCGCATTTGGAATGCTGCTGCTGCCGCCGGCATTGCTGTTGCTGTTGCTATTGCTATTGCTATTGTTGTTGCTGTTGTGAGTGTTATTGCTTGTGACTGCAACCCGCGGGCTGCTGATGGCCGCAAAGGAGCCGGAGGATGGTGCTGTGGTCGCCGCTGCAGCCTCTGCCGAGCGTCGCTTCTTTATCCGTGCACTGGACTTGAGGCTCATTGTTTGGACCTGCAAATTAAATGTTAAATTCTGTTGCTTAGCTATGGCAATAACTTAACGTGGACTTACCTCAATATATCTATACTTTTTGTATGCAGCGTCGCGGCAAAAATCAATAAACGAGCACGTTGCGTTTGTAATTAAACCATTTGAGGTGCCTCAAATCAATCCTGCGACAAAAAAAAAAACAACAACAACAACAATAACAGAGAACTTTGCGCTAGGTCTGCCAGTCGGCAAGTGAAGCGAACGCAACGAAAGCGACTACCGCGCAACTCCACGGCAACAACAACCCCTAAAGCGAAGCGTAAGCGTGCCGCGGCAGCTCACCTACCCAACAACTACCCACTAGCCAGCCAGCCAGGCAGCCCAACCCAACCCCAAAACGAACATAGCTAAGCCAAGTGCACCACCAGCAACATAAACGCCCAACTACGTAGAACATGCGCGGTAGCTCACTTGCTTTTCCAATCTCTCTCCCACTCTCTCTTGCTGTTGCCTTCTCTTTCACTCGAATGCAGTAACATATTGTGAAACGACGAGGACGAAGTTTGTCTTGCGCAGTGGTCATTTTTTTTTTTTAGCGACTTAGGGTATTGATTTGTAGCCAAAGATAATTTGAAAAAAAAAACCTAGTTAACAATATAAATACGTAATGTAATTTGTATTCAAAAAGCGAGTATGCGTAGTCGCATAGGCGTTAAAAGAGCATGCCAAGCGTAGCTGGGATGAGTGGGCAAATTAGATGAAATGTCAGTGTAACAGGACATTGACACGAGATCTGCGCATAACGCTTTGCAGGACATGCGCAGTGGGTGCCCTTTTGAACTGGGAACGAGCGAGAGTGAGAGCTTGGCAAATACAAATGGCCAGCGCACGTGTGCGAGAGTAGTAGGACCTGAGCGTGCGTATAACGGTGTTGTTAGGGTGGAGCAACGAAGCAACAGACTTTATGGTAAATATGTCAAGTCAGAGCAAATATGTTTGCAAATGAAAGACCTTAGGCTAAAGTTTACCCCTAATTAACACAGTATTTGTGATTTTACTCACCGAAACAACAATTTCTTAAATTAAAATAGCAACTTTTAGTCCTGCGGCCGACCGGTGCACAGCTACAAATTTGAACGATTAATGAACAGCATTGCCAATTGTAAATTATTTAAGCGCTTTTGGCTAGAGTTGCCAACCAGCTGGCTAGTGTGCGCGTTTCGCTGTGACTGTCAAAATACTCTGCTTCGTACTGTTTGGTCTCAGCTGTTAGATTCTGCTCTTGCTGGCGAGTTGAGTTTTGCAGCAAATTAAAATGGTTTTAACGAAAGAAGAGGAGGCATTTATTTGCCGCAAGCACGAGCAAACACTTAAGCTCCGCAACGAATACCTAAAGCAGAGCTCGAATCCGTTTCGCCATGCCACCGGAGAGGGCGGCACTGTGGTATGCACAATTGCTGGTTATGTCATCACTGGCCAAATAATAACACATATAGTATTATTAATCACTTGATTTTTGCAGTTTGATGCCGGTCTAGCGCGCTTCCAGGCCATGCGTGTGTCAAACTATGAGCACTTCCGCCCCACAGGACACTCCTTCCGCATGGGTCTGTTTGCCGTCGTGCTGCCCATCGCTGTCTACGCCTGGGCCCTAAAGACCGAACGCGATGGCCGCGAGAAGAAATACCGCACCGGCCAGGTTGCCTATAAGGATCGCCAGTTTAAGTTCATTTAAATGCCCATTTAGTGAAATTATACAACAATGTTAACATTCGAATGTAATTGTGTATTTTTCGTTTGTTATATTAGTTAATTTAGGTATATATATTACTATTTCTCCTCCATCTGCTTGTCGCGCGCTATGACAAAGTCCTCAAACTTGACCATATACGTGGTGCCCTTGTGCCAGTGCGCTGTCACCTTGCAGGGCTGTAAAAGTCGTAAGCATGTTGTAGACACCTCGGAAATAAGCTGCAATTAAGACACTTACGAATCCGCAGTGGGTTAATACCGCCTCTACGATGCCAGCCGTGAAGTTGGCACAGTTCAGGGAGCTCTTGTCCTTGGGCACACTTATGAATGTGTTTACCAGTGGCTCCTTTTCAATGATGTAGTACGTGCGCTCATCATCGTTGGCGTGCTCTAGCTTCTCCGCCTCCTTGCCGAACAGATTCTTCCAGACCGTTGTCTTCACAAAGAGCAGCATTTGCGTTAGCTTTGTCTCACGTTTGGAGCTGCGCTCGCGCACAAAGTACAAGTCAATGATACGTGTGCCCACATCCTGACCCAAATCGTGTAATCTAAACCAGACGGCATTACTTCTACACTTTGTTAGTCAGAAGCGAGATACAAAATACCTTGTCTGCAATTCGGGAACTGTGAAAACACGGCTCTGAGAGTATTGAACGATCTCACTGAAGAGCAGAGCCACAATGCTTTGTGAAACCTCGCATTTGCCTTTGGATAGCGGTCGATCAAGTATATTGCTACGCGGACGCATTGATGAAATTTTAAGGGCTTCAAGTTTTTCCATTTTATTTTCACAACAAACGTAAACAAAAGGCCACAAGAACAAATTGGCACCAAAACAGCTGTAAGTGCTGCCAGATTTCTTAGAAAACAGCAACGCTGCGTTGTGAATGGCAATTTGGCATTTCCTTGTCTACCAATTGTATTGGGGCCGTTATTGCATGCAGCCACACTTTCTTGGATTATTCAAATCGAGCAGATCTACTTTGGACCAATAATCACGTGGCTGCTGCTGCAACGCAGTTAAATAAGACTCGAACTGTCTGAAATTTATATCGCGCGTATGTGGACAACCAATATGATGGTAATAGGGACACGCATCATCCACTATCCAACGACGGGTTTGTAAATTCTTTATAATATTGCCATGGTCCAAAATTCCCTCAATTTTTTGCTCGTACATTTTGGAAGTGATCTTTGAAATCGCCTCATTGATTATAGCATCTACATTGGGCAAACTAACTATCTCCCGGACCAGCTTATGCGTCTCCACACGACGCACGCACAGCAAATACCAGAGCGGCATCGACTGGAACCGTATGCAACCAATCAAGCTGGGCACACTTGATTTTCGGCTCTGCCAATCGTGTCCTAGCCAGCGCACAGCAATAAAGAGTATCTGCTTGAATAGATTTGTTATTAATATGATCAGAATAATTCTAAATCGATTGAATTACAGACTTCCACTTCCGTGTTCACACAGATTTCATCCGAACTGAGAAGATACACAAGATGCTTTAGCGGCACATCCAAAAAATCTCGTGTGGCCACAAATGTGAGAAGAAACTTTTGTATGCGCGTCAGCATCAAATTGCGAACAATGTCCAATGCCGGATTGTTTCTCGATTCAACATACATTATGCAGGCGTTGGCCTCATTAAAACAGTTGATATCATCAAAGTACGTCCAGCAGGCCAACAGCAAGGCTCTGATTCTCAAATAAGTTGCGGCCACAAATACGGCGACAATGTTGTGGCGCTCCAGGGTGGGTTCATCGCTGAGCATCCACTTGTAGATGAGCATAAAGGCCTTTTGCGACACCTTCTCCTCCGGCAGAGTCACAACAAGCGGTATCGGCTCGAGCTCCATAAAGAACTTGGAGTAGGCCTGCAGCACAATGACATGGCAATTGAAATACATTTTATTGATCTCTATTTGGACGGTGGTCTTCAAATGGTTTTCCACCATGTAGCGCAAGACGGCTTTTAATGACACTTTGAGAGGCTGTTCGATGCTCGTCCAGTCACGCACATCCTCAAAATTGTGACCGAACTCAAAGAGCGATCGATTTGTCGCCAAATCCGCAGATTGACGCTTAAATATACGCTCGATCTCCAAATCTTCAGCTTTTGAGACTAGGCATGTTACCGATCCGAGTTCATCTTCGGACGAGGTTCCCGGACAGAACTTTGTGCTACAAATTCAATATTAGTTTGATAAATACCAGTAAAAGCTTTTCCTGTGCCCCGCTATTTACTTGACAAAGTGCACACTGCACGTGAGCTCCCGGCTGGCCGGCTCTCTCTTGTGCTCGTCCGAGGCCTCGTATTTTTTCATTAGCTCATCCATGGTGCCGAAAAATATGTATCAAACTTCCTATAAAAATTCTATAAAATATTTAAATATATATTTATTTGTGATTGAATATAAACGCCAAGCTTAAGCACACAAAAAATAGGCTAAGTTCGTTTAGGAATGTTTTACGTATCTTCACTTCCCTGAACCAAGTGAACCTAATCCTCGGCTGTTTCTCAGGTGCTGGGCCTCCTCAAGTTTTGTAGTTGAAAGCAAACCGACAAGGTTTTCCTTCTGTTGTTAGGGAAAAAATTCGAAACAATCAACTGGAATTCCTGCTGCAAAATATAACATTGTTATTAACAATTTCATTTATTAAAATGGGTAAAAAGTTTTTTGCATCGGCCGGGAATCGAACCCGGGCCGCCCGCGTGGCAGGCGAGCATTCTACCACTGAACCACCGATGCATGTGTTGGGACTGTAAACGAATCGCAATATGAAAAAAGCGTTGTTTTATGCGTATGAAACTTGATAAAGCATTTGCTTTATTTGTCCTAAATTTTGCTGGACGCGGTCGTAAAAAGAATATTGTTCGTAATTGTTTATTAAATTGTGTTTTATTGGTTTGTATTTTTTTTGTTCACATTTTAAATACATTTATATGAATAAATATATTATTTATTTTGTTTAATTTGTTTTGCAATATTTTATATGCTGTTTCTTATGCATAAATTTATGTGATTTTCATTTTATGTATTGTATATAAACAAAGGATTGATTGAAAATTTCTTATGCATTTTTTTGGTGTTTAACAAATTGCTGCCATTAACTATTAATCTCTAGAATATTTTTGTTTTTTATTTATCTGTAAGAATTTGTTAATAAATAATGTAGCGAATTGTTTGCTATTGTTACTGAATCCTAGTTTTGTCGATTTTCCATTACTTACATTGAACATACATTTTCGTTTGTTTATGGACAGTTAAAATTTGAAATACATTTAATATATAATTTATATGTTTTTGTATGTTGGCATGCTTGTGGATCATTTAACATGTTAAAATTATTGTAGCTTTAACTAAATAATAAAAAGTAATTTAAAATTATACATGTATATTTAACATTTTGTACTTTTTGTTGAGTGTTTGTTCTTTGTTCAAAGTTTTTTGTTTGTTTGTGGTAGGTTTCTTGATCGAAACAAATTTCGTTCATTTATTTTCTTTTTTTAAGATACTGCATTTGCATTTTAGTAACAATTGCCCATGTTCTTAAAGGTTTTGTTTTTTAATATATTTTGTTGCTTTTTTTTAATGTGTTTTTTGCACAACCTTTGCTTATTTTTGAATAAATATGCATTTATAGTAAGAAATAAATTAATGCTTTTTTTTATTATTAATTTCATTTTTAATACACAAAAAATACTTAGGTTCTTTGCACATAAGTATTCAATTTTTGCCTTCTTTAATACGCTTTTAAACATTTATATATATAACTGCATATAATTTTTATTCATTTTTTTTTTTTTTTTTTGAAAACACTTATGTATTTTGTTATAACCCCATTTACAAATGAGTTAATATTTATTGGTTTGCGTAAACCAAATTGTTCATTTGTAATGGAAAAATTACAAATTGTTTTTATTTTTAGGTTGATTTAAGCGGCGCAAACGCATAATTGCAAAGGTTGCATTTTAATTGTTCAATTTTATTTTTTTTTTTAGCTTTTTATCTGCTTAAACTTAAAAGATTGAAACAATATGTGTTTTTTTTCTTTTGCAAAAGAAATATTTTGAATCTTCATGAGCCCTAAGAAGAGTCAAAAACATTCTTTTTAAATCGAAATAAATATTACATTAGGTTTAAAACAATTATGGCTGACAAATGAATTTTGTTGATCAATTGTTCAATCGAGAACGCCGTTGTTGCAAATTTACTTTGCCCGCTTTGAAAGGTTCAAAAACAATTTGCAATTCTTACTTGGGGTATTTAGTTTTAAATTTTCTTTTTTGTGTTTATAATATTTTTTTTAAAACAATATTTTTTCTTGTTGCATTTGCGCTTTGAGTTAATGCGCTTTGAGTTATATGTTATGCAAAATGTTCTTTCTTTCAGATTACAAATTTGTGCATTGTTAAAACTATAAACAAATTGGAATTACGCACAAAAATGTATATTCGCATAACTTTCGTGCCTTGCCTTGGCTTAATACTGTTCTCCAATTTCAAATTGTAAACAAAAGTTAAGTAGCAAAAACTTAAAGAACTAAAAAGAATTACTATTCATTAAGCATATGATACGTAAATTTAATATATATATATATATATGTATAAACAAATAGCCCGGTTTTTACAAAAGTATAATTAAGTGAAAGCTCTACACGTAAATTACAATTATAAATGTTAAATTGGTGCGTGTGTGTGTGCGTATGCATGTATGTGTGCACAAATGTGTGTGCGTTATTTGATCTTCATATATATATACAAAAAATTATGGCAAATCAAATGGAGTTACAAAATGATCAAAACTTAAACAAACTGGAAACTTAAAAAAAAAAAAATGGCAAATTAGACCAAAAACTTTTAGAACATCAGCCGTCCATAGTCGTTTTGGGCGGCCTTGCTGCTGCGCGGCTGCATCAGATATAACGGCTGTGGCGGATGGTGCTGAGGCGCGCCGAGACTGTGTGATAGCTCCCAGTTATAGAAATGCCTCTGTGGCTGCGACAGTGACTGCGACTGGCGCTGTTTTAGTCGCAGCAGCTGGCTCTTGTAGTTTTGCTCGTCGGGCTGCAAATGCTGCTGGTTTCTGGGCCTGGTGCTGTAGTCGTCGTCGTACTGTCCTTGCAATCTAGCCTCCAAATGTCAGACATGCGGTTTATGGCGGCCACCGCACACGCCGCAATGTATGCCAAGCAAATGGCATGCACGCATCGGTGGATAGCACCACAGGCAGGGAACGAACAGGGACAGCAGCGCCAGGCCCAACCAGCGCTTGGTGCAGCCCGCCTCGCTAACGCTACAATCGCACGGATGCTGCGCCGTCTCACCCTCCGCATCGCTCATGCAGTGATAGATCATGCACCGCGCACAGCCCATGCCCGAGATGCACTCGTAGCCGCTGCGAAACGGATCCGGCGCATACTCGCAGGCGCCACGCCTATTAAACTCTTCGCTATAAAGCTCATGACAATAGCGGCACCGCAGGCGCGTCTCCTTCTTGAGTATATCCGACACATTGGGTTTGTGCAGCGGCTTGTTGGCAGCGGATGTCGCCGACGTCTGCGCGGCGGCCATCGCCTGCGCCGCCTCCAGAGCATTGCGTTTCTTTACCGCACTGATCGACTCGCGGCGCGCATTCAACACTTGTGCGCCTACTGGCTGCTCCACCACAGGGTAATTATAGTCATGGTGCACAGCCGTCAGCGTTACATAGGAGTAATTTTCGCTGGGTGCAATCTGACCGGCAGGCGGCGGCGGCGGCAGCCCATCAGTTGAGCCGCCTGCATTGTTGCCGCTGCCGGGGCCCGGAGCCGTTGATGTTTTATCCGTCGATATGTAGTGTATGGTCGCCGCCGGTAGTTTCTCTGAATCGGAATTGTTGCTGTAGCTATCCTTATGTCGGTCGCTGACGCTTTCTGCAAGAATGGAACCGGTCAGTTTCGATTGAAATTACGAAATTTGAATAATATTTGGATGCATTACTGTGACTTTTTTCGCTGCCTTCTGGGCTTGAATGTATCTTTTGTAAACTTTCGCTTTCCACAGGTAAGTCCAGGGTCTGTGCATTGTCAATAATTAGCAACGTTTCAATAAAGTTTTTGTTACGAACTCACCATGAATACATCATCTTCACCAACCGAATCGTATTTGGTCAACGGCGGGCATATTATAGTGGGATTCGATTTGGCCAGTCCTGCGTGTGTTGGAATATATCAAAAATGGTTAGTTATATCAAATAGCTTGGCATAACAATGTTTACAGTTTATTTCAAGGCACACAGCAAATTAAATGCAAAGCTTTAAGAGAGCGTTGTCAATTAGTTTAAAGAAAACAGCGTATCAAATACAATTGAGAGTGTGTTTGAGCAATTGTAGATTACGGGTGTGCTCTATGTGAATAATACTACAAATTATGGTGTGCGCTGCAATTTTAAATGGAACTCAAGACATCCGAATAATGTCGACAGTTCTCGACACTTTAAACAACTTCCGGACCACAGTCCCTTCAGCTCTTGTTTAAAATGTCGAAGATCGACTTAATGGCTAGATCAATAATATACAAATTAAAAGAATTGGTGAGGTCAATAATGTAATAGGATAAGAGCATCATTGGTAACCCTAGCCAGGGTATTATAGTGTCACTATCTATGTTAATTATAACAGTACGATAAGTAAATATCGATAAAGAAAAGCGGCTGCAGAGAAGAAGTGGAAGGCAGTCTCTCTACAGTACTAGCAGTAAGAAGACGTGTTGTTAAAAATAAAAAGGCAACCCGAACATAAGTTAAATCAACGAAGAAAATCATACTATTACAATATTATTGATAATTTACTATAATATATATATATATATATCTATATAGAAAATTTTAAACAAAATCATATTAAATTTACTACTAGAATGTAAATTAATTAAAATACATATAATATTACAAATTCAAATATTTTTCAAAAAATATAAGTAAACCAAAAAAAACAAAAAAAAAATTAATTGCCTGATAAAAGGATTACCTTGCTAGGGTAAATTATGTAAGATTCTACATTCATTGATTCATTTTATTGTTATTTTTAGAAAGATTTTATATTTAATAGAATTAAACTATTACTAAAAGTATCAAAAACTTTTGTGCATCGCACACCAAAATATAAAAAGAAGAAAGTATCAGTAGAATATAAAATAGGTGACTATGTCATGGTAAAAAATTTTGATAGCACACCAGGAGTTTCAAAAAAGTTAATACCAAGATATAAAGGGCCTTATAGTATAGAAAAGATTTTAAAAAATGATAGATACTTGTTAAAGGATGTAGAAGGCTTTCAATTATCTCGCAACCCGTACGTTGGTATCTGGAATAGCCAAAACTTTAAGCATTGGATGCGAAAATAGGCAATAAGCATTAGTTATAAAGATAGATACACATATAAAAGACAGAGATCGGGAGCTCTCTTTGTCAGGATGGCCGAGTTGTAATAGGATAAGAGCATCATTGGTAACCCTAGCCAGGGTATTATAGTGTCACTATCTATGTTAATTATAACAGTACGATAAGTAAATATCGATAAAGAAAAGCGGCTGCAGAGAAGAAGTGGAAGGCAGTCTCTCTACAGTACTAGCAGTAAGAAGACGTGTTGTTAAAAATAAAAAGGCAACCCGAACATAAGTTAAATCAACGAAGAAAATCATACTATTACAATAATATTATCAAAAGGAACTGTGTCTAAAAACAAATATACGTTAAGTAATAATTAATTGATTCTAAATTCAAGTTGTAGTTACGAAGAAAAAAAACAGCAGCGCACACACGTGACTTTTTAAAAAGAAACCTCCTTAAACACTTACCAATTTCGTTTAAAATATATATTATGTGAATTTTGTTTAATGGTTGTTTTTGTAAATTTGTAATTTTGAAACAAATTGCACAATTCCAATAAATGTTTTAAGTTTTGATAATTTTGTTTTGTAGCAAGTTTTAAAAAAGAGCATAAAACATTAATTTTGCATTAGTTAATGAAGGCAAAAATTCTAAATGCAACGTCTAAAGTAGAACCGACGTTTAGCCAAGGTGTGTGTTATAAGGAAACTTAAACTAGATTAGTATATGCTAAACTGAAATAAAAGCAAGGATAGAAAACATCTTTGAGTGTGTTCTTTAAGCGACATGCAGCTAAATGGGAATGTGGAGGCTCGGGCCATAAAGATGCGGAAAACTGCCTACCATCAATTAGTTCATTATAGGCTCGAAGGACGCCCTTGTCAAAGGCACGCGCATCGGCTGCCGTTTGGAAAGTTAAACCGTTGCGCTGTTTGCCGGCGCGCCAATGATGAAATGTGGGCATTACTTTGTAATACTTCAGATCACGATTGATGACACAGCTTAAGATAACCTGCAAATGAATACACAATAGAATAGAATCAAGCTTTAATTGCATATGTTAACTAACTTACACTTTGATCAGAGATTCTTTGCCCATAGATGATGTAGTCATGACCCGACGCCAATGGGGATAATCTAGCTCGCTTGCGTATGGAAACATTTGCTAGACCACCCCCGGCCAACGGTAGCCAGCCTTCTGTGCTTTCGTCTCTGGTCATTACCTGTGCGCGTACTGTAACTAAGAAGTCGCTGCAATGAACAACAAATACAACAAATTAAAGAAAAGTTAACACTTTTCGATAGGCACAAAAACAATAGAATTAAAAACCAATTGAAAGTAGGAGAAATTGTAATCGACAGGCACCTGCTAAACGTGCGCTTTAAGCTTAATTTACGGTAAGATACTGTGGCCATTGCTGCTGCTCCGGAGTGACTGCATCCGCCCGTGGCAGTAGCTCACGTCTATATTCCCAGTGCGATAACTTAAAAGTGTAGCTAATTTGACTAATTCAATTTTCGACCAACGAAGCCATAGCAGAGCGACTCCAACTGCACACCTGTCGCTTTTATTCATGACAAAGCCAAAATAAACTAAAAATAATTATGGGTCCTTCTTTTCAAAACACACGTACATGCACACACACACACACACACAAACACAAGCGTTTGCTCATTGATGTGCTATTTCCGCACGTACACATACACACGTATGTGGCATATTAAGGGTAGCAAAAATATCTGAATTAAGAACCTGTAAAACTTTCATTTTGGGTTTCATTCTTGAAAAACGCAGCTACCGCAAAATGAGCTGGGAGTAAGGTGAATACAGGCCCAAAACAAGTCGGACGAACAAGCGAACAAAGCAACTCACGACCTGCGCAGAAGTTTGAAATGGAGTTTTAAGCGTAAACTTACTCAATGAAAAAAGCTTTCAGGGAGGAGTTGGTAGCCCGTCGCTTCTGACTCTATTTGCTTGTATATATATATATATATGTGTGTGTGTGTGTGTGTGTGTGTGTGTGTGTGTGTGTGTGTGAGTGTATACACACATTTGTCCTAGATTTGGCAAATTTTACAGAATGAACATGCACAGGGTCTGCCAAAGTAGACAAAAACGACGTCATAGCTGTGTCAAGGACTAGCTAGTGGCAGCGATAGCAGGTTGCAACGCGACATGGCGTACTTATGTATATGTATGTATGTATGTATGTGCATCGTTCGTACTCAAGGTGGGACGCACACGTCAGCATGTCTGGCCAAGGATGTCCATGCGGCGGTCAGGCCATGAATGAATTGCATTTTCTTTACACTTTCTACTACCAGGGCTGCCCTAGATGCATTCATGCAATTTGAATTTTGAAAAGAGCTTTTGCTTGCCCTGGTGGCAACGTCAATAAAAAAGTTTTACTGGAGTTGCCACTATGCAAGTTGTAAATGTGCATTTAAAAAACCAGAGGCAAAACACACACACACACACGCACGCACGCACTTACACACACACACACACACAGATGCATACATACAGACGACTTGTGTGAATATTCAGCAACAACTCCGCTTAAGACATGACACAAAGCCTGCCCCAAGCAAAAATTAAAAGTCCCAAGTCAGAAACAAAATCCTCAATTGACAAACTCCCAACAGTGCGCATGCGTGGAAAAGAGAGAGAGAGAGACACACAGAGAATCGGACTCCCAGTGTCTGCATGTATGTGCAAGTGTGTGCACGAAACAACGGGAGCTGGTCGTTGTCAATTGTTCAAGCATTTGTCTACGATCTGCATATGAAGTACATGTGTATGTATGTTAGTACAAAACATACTTATGTTAATGGCGACAGTTGCAACTGGTTTGAGAGCTTTTAAAGCACATCAAGCAACATTTATGCTGAGATATTTTACTACTTTTAAAAGCGCTAACACCCACAATTCTAAACCTTTTTATATATACGTATGTACATACAAATATAGTTTTGTCGCAGAGGCCTGGAGAGTGCAGCAACAACAAGCTATAAATATGAACGAACTGGTCTCCATGAATTGTGTTAAAAAAGCAACGGATTTTGTTTAAAAAAAAAAAGTTGACAAGACTATCCACTCATACGCATACACATAAAAGTAAATGTTTTTATAGTAATAAATGGAAATTGAATGCAAAATGCAAATCAAATTTATCGGCTTTCTTCTTTCAACCAGCAATTCGTACCAAGTAGAGGAACCAAAGCAAGCCATGAATGAAACTACAAGAGCCTTGGCTGTGGTATTGAATGTGTGTGTGTGTGTGTGTATTGTTATTGTTGTTGCTGTTGCGCAGACGTTGGTAAATTGAAATGGCATGGCTAGAGTGCTTTAGCTATAGCTTTAGCTTTAGCCAGTGGCTACTTCGACTGTATTTATGTCTGTCTGTCTGTCTGTCTATTGTAAGTGCTTCAATATGCGGCACATAAACAAGTAAGGAAGCGCGCAGGGCGAGTGACATCATTTTCAATGGGGCGCTACGCTTTAAACAGCAAGAAAAACAATTAGAAAAACAAGATAGTTGCTGGCATTCCGTTTCATTCATTAAAAGTGGCGACAGACAGACTATGCGGAGACATTGACACGGCGTTCTCAATACAAAGACATACACATATGTATGTATGTACAGTTTTATGCATGTACATGTGTGTGTGTATATATGCATGCATGCCTTGGATTGACCAGACAAATGAGTCACATTTCATTCATACCAAAGTAATGGTTCTTCAGCTTGATTAGCGCCGTCTTTCATTCAGAAATATTTGTTAGTATTTAAGTTCAATTAAATTGCATTTGTGCTTGTTAAATTGGCAGCAATTGTGTACATTAAATTGGGAGCGTGCACAATTAGGACACATACAAAGATACCCCTTGCATAAGTCTGGCAACGCTGTAAGCTTGACTTAAAGCTTCGCAACAGACAAACAATTATATTAGAAATAAGTATATTTACGTTAGGTTCACGTCAAATTGTACACTTACCTTTCATGTCCTTCTGTCATGGTTTGTAATCAGAAAGATTCTAATATAGCAGCGTATAGTGTCGGTGTTGTTCTTGTTGGTGGCAAAATACACCATGATTAAAGCATAAAGACATTCAGAGCCTGCTGCTGCACAAACTTCCGAAAAACAAGCGAGAACAACAACAGAAAAATGTAACTGTAACAATTACAGTTACGCTGGTTTGAGGCTTAGAAGCTTTTGTTGACTGTAGATATCTGGAGAGTTAGTATTGTTTTTATTGTTGGTCGTTTCAGCTGAGTTGTTGTTGTAGGTGGTTGTAGGCGCTTCGTTGCTTTGTTGTTGTTGTATATTTTTTGTTGTTTTACTGCTTTTCGTTTCGTTAGCTTTCTTTTGGCACAATATGAAAGACGACGCCTCTGTTTTGCAACTGTTTGAAAACCCGTTAAGTACTGCACCCGAGTTTAACTGCGACTGAAGAGCAAAACCGTTATATTTAATTAAATGTATAAATAATTAAAAATGATTTTTAATGAAAGCAAGTTCTTTTAGAAATAACAACAGAGCAGCAGACGGCGACGAACGGGCGACTTTTACTTTTTCAATACACTCGCAAACACACACACACACACACACGCACACACACTCTTGCACACACTATGTGGGCGTGTAGACAAACACTGTGGAAATACTTCATGGAGCAAATATATGTATGTCCAAATTTTTCCAAGCAACACAGATGTAACAGGCATCTCAAAATGAGCAAGAGAGCGCACGCACGCAAGGTTGAGCCTGAATCGAAATTGAGAGCGCACCAGCCCCAGCTAAAACAACAACAAAACAGTTGTATACAAAATTGTGGTATCTATTTAACTGTATAACTTTTATTGAAAAACGCAATTAGGTATATGTCACTTTCATTTGACTTAGATCTAGTTGTTAACTAAAGCCTGAAAATATATAAATCACTTTGCGCTGCGTACGACAATTCATTCATATATTTTATCAAGGCTACTGGCGCTTTGGTCTCTCTTGGCTTGTTTGGAGCACTCTCTTGGGTTCTCACTTGCTTGCTACGAGAGCGTCACTTGCGCATATACAAAAAAAAGGTAGCACACACACACACACACTCACACACAAGCACGCAGAAAGTGAGGTAGAACATTTTTGGGCGATTCTCCATGTATACACATAGTATATATAAATACATACATATATGTATATATGTTTTTTATTGCCTATCCTGCAGCTTGTGACATACTTATATTATATTCACGTACAAGCACATTATTTGCAATAAATATATATTTTGTTGCTGCAATGATCGCGTTAGTAAATGTTTACGATGGCATGTGCTTTGCTATTGTTTCATTTTATTTCATTACTTTTTTTTGCACTGCGAATTTAGGTTAGTATATGTTGGATTTTTGATTTAGCGCAGACATAACGACCGTGAAGGAGGTGGCAGGTGAGGGCGCGGATGCGTACGGAACGGAGAAGGAGACGTGGTGTATCGGAATTTTTCTCTATTGGATAACAGCTTTTCGCATTTTATACCGTTTATCACGTTTCTGAAATGGCAGACACATTATACCACTTATTTGTGGCAATCTTTTCTATTCTTTGCACTTTTTGCAAGTTGTCTCTTTGGACACAAAAGCAATTCTGGTCTCAGATGGCAACTGCGTTTGCTTGGAAATTTTTCACTCGCGTATCGGTTTAAAAGCTTTTATGTGTTAATATTTATATTAACTTTTCACTTAATTTAAATGCATAAGGTTTCATTCTTTTTTATTACTTTTATGCAGATTTTACACCTACTGCCTCTTCTTCTTGTCGAAAAAAAAAGAATGAAATTCCAAACGAGATGTTATTTAACATAACATCGACAACTTAAGTAACATTTGCAGAATGTTATTAACAGATAAAAATACATAGAAAAACTATCGAATAGTTTGTGGATTTAAAATTGAACCAAAAGATCAGAGCGTATGCAGTGAATCTTAGATATTTTGACAAATGTATTTAATCTTAGACAAAAAAAACTCTTTTAATATTAAACTCTAAAACTACATCTGCGCTAGTATTATCGATATATAAATACTTTTACGATGTCACTGCTGTTGAGCTTTAACACATTCGGCGTTTTTAATATAATGTATTTAATTAATTAAACTGTAATTATTGGAGATTTTTCAGTTTAGTTTCATTATAGTTTTGAATTATTATTTCTTAATAACAGTTTGGACATCTAAGAACATTGTTGTAAATAAAAATTAAGAGCTTTTGTTGCATTTTCCAAAAGGATTACGTAGCCCTACTCAGAAGTTAACGCCTACTACCATTATGTTCTTGATAAGTAACTGTTATTTTGTCGCTGTTATTGTTTACATTTTATTTACAGCTCTGTAAAAATGTATCGGTAGATTGACACTCTTGTTACAAGTAGCCGATAAGTAAATATCGCTCATCTCTAGCATTAACATTTCCTTTTTTATGTGCGTGTGTGTGTTTGATGACTGCGGGAAATTGGCTGCCGTATATAATTCGCAAATAAATCGCTGAAAATGGCTAAAAAGAAAAGTGAAGAGCATTCGGGAGCCGATGCAAACGATAGCGATTACACCGAGGAGCCAAACTTCGACGATCCTCCCAATTTTGTGGACAATATCAGCGATGAAGGCAAGTTTGGGCCTTGCCAGCGCAGCACACGCGCTACAAGCCACCGCCGACTAATGCAAAAACAAACATAACCTCAATCTGAGTGTTAATTTTATGACAATTGCAATAATGCCCATATTATTGCAGATTTACTTGGGGATATGCTGGCTCAACGCCCATCGGAGGCCGATGGCGTCGAGAGTGTCGTTGTGGTCGACAACATGCCAAAAGTGGAACCGAGCCGCCTCGAGAAACTAAAATCGGTTATCAACAAGCTGTTTTCTCAATGCGGTGAAATTGTCAACGTTGTCTATCCCGTCGATGAAGAGGGCAAGACAAAGGGCTATGCGTTCATGGAGTATAAGACCGCAAGCCAGGCTGAGGATGCGGTTAAGAAGCTGAACAACCATCGTCTGGACAAGAATTACACCTTTGCTGTCAATTTGTTTACAGACTTTCAAAAGTAAGTTGTTGCTTTGCAAATTTTTTAACAGATAAGAAGATATATTTGTATGTGTTAAGACACTATCTAAAATGAATGCCTACAATTGATAAATAGGTATGAAAATATACCGGAGAAATGGGAGCCGCCAACGGTGCAACCCTTCAAGGTACAGAGCGATCTGTACAATTTCATAAACGATCCCGATGCCTACGATCAGTACTGCGTGGCGGCAGAGACAGCTCCCAATTGCGTGCAGGTTGGCTTCTGGCAGAATACTCTCCCGGAACCTAATGAGCTAGAGACGCGTGAACGTTTTACTGACACTTTTGTCAAGTGGTCTCCATTGGGCACGTATGTGGTCACCTTCCACAAACCTGGAGTGGCCATTTGGGGAGGCAGCAGCTTCCAAAAGATTCAAAAGTTTCCGCATCCTGGCACTCAATTCGTTGAGTTTTCGCCCTGCGAAAATTACTTGGTTACGTATGGTCCGACGCCGACCGGCCAAAAGATCATCATTTGGGACATACGCACCGGAACTGAGAAGCGTTCCTTTGTGGGTGATGGGATGTCAGTGTTGTCAATGTTCCGCTGGTCGCACGATGACAAATTTGTGGCACGCATGGGCGAAAACTCGATACACATTTACGAGACACCATCGTTTTATTTGCTGGATTTAAAATCTATTAAGATTCCGGGCATACGCGGCTTCTCGTGGTCGCCTACGGACAACGTAATTGCCTACTGGGTGGAAGAACAGAACCAGATACCCGCACGCGTGACGCTAATGGAGATACCCAAAAAGCGGGAGACACGCAACAAGAACCTCTTCCATGTGGCCGACTGTAAGCTTCATTGGCAAAAATCTGGCGATTATCTATGCGTCAAGGTTGATCGCTACTCTAAGTTGAAGAAGGACAAGAAGGAGCTGGATGTCAAGTTTCTGGGCATGTTTTACAACTTTGAAATTTTTCACATGCGCGAAAAGGAAATACCCGTGGATTCGGTGGAGATACGTGAGCTTATCCTCGCGTTTGCCTGGGAGCCCATAGGTAACAAGTTTTCCATTATACACGGCGAGCCCAATTCTTCGAACGTTAGCTTCTATGAGGTCAACAAGGGTGTTAAGCCAAGCTTGGTCAAACGCTTGGAGAAGAAGTCATGCACTCATCTGTTCTGGTCGCCACGCGGTCAGTTCATAGTGATGGCCAATCTTACCATGGGCACCTTTGAGTTTGTTGATACAACCAACGATTACATCATCAGCGCATCACCGGATCACTTCCGCGCCTCCGAGGTAGAATGGGATCCAACTGGTCGCTATGTCGTGACTGGCGTCTCGTCTTGGAAGGTCAAAGAGGATACGGGCTTCAACATGTACACCTTCCAGGGTCGCATCATCAGGCGCACCATTTTGAAGAACTTTGTTCAGTTCCTCTGGCGCCCGCGACCGCCGACGCTTCTCAGTGAAGAGAAGCAGAAGGAGATAAAGAAGAACCTGAAGAAGTACTATCCTGTATTTGAGCAAAAGGATCGCCTGCGTTTGACCCGTGCCTCCAAGGAGCTGCTCGAGAAGCGCTCACAGCTGCGTGAGACTTTCATGGAGTACCGCAACAAGCGCATTGCAGAGTGGAAGGATCAGAAGAGCCGTCGCGTCATGCTCAGAGGGCGTAAGTTAATTACAGCTAACTGTGAACTTGCTTTTAAAGATTTAATTATTTACTTTGCAGATGTGGATACGGATAATTTGGAAACCGATGAAGTCGATGAGGAAGTTGTTGAATTTTTAGTCAAGGAAGAAATAACCCTGCTAGAGTAGACGACCCCCAAAACTGCGCCCACGTCCTCCCCCTGTTTTCACATTAATTAAAGCTGGTGGCTCAGACTTGCGACGCAACGTGACAACGTCCCGGCAACATCCACTTGTCGGGATTCATTTGCAAACACGTATCGCGTCATTAATATTGCAACTAAGCTTAACCATATTAAATAGCTTGCGTTACATACATATGCACACATATACATACACTTATATCTATATAAATTTGATCCTTAAGCACAAAAGTAACGTCACATCATTTTATATTAACTAAAGTCAAGCTCACGAACAACTTTATAACTGGATAGAATCGAGCACAACCAACAAACAACATGTCCGAGACCACATTGTCAGCCATTAGAAGTAAATTTGCATTGTATTTGTATGTTAACAGCAAAAAGAAAAGGAAAACGAAACGGCGTTTATATTTAAATTTTTCATGAGGGCGGGCGGGCCAAAAACTCAAAACTGAAATAAAAGCCAGTTACCATTCGAATCTATTTTCACATTCAACAGTATTTTTGCTCCTAATTATTTTTATTTCACAAATTTGTTAAGGTTATAGAATAATCGAAGAGTTAGAATTAATTACCCGACTTAGAATTTTGAACAGATCTATTGTTAAAGCCCCTTTGTAGACTTGAAAGCAATCAATTCGGCTTTAGTGTCTGTCTAGATTAAAAGATAGAGTGGAAAATAGTGAGTAGTACAAAGAATTGACCCCTTGTCAAAAACAGATTTATTGATTCAATTATTTTGGAACATTTATATATTTTTGATCAGTATATTAAATTGCTATAACAGAAATTCCCGATAGAAATAAGAATTCCTTTTATAACAGGTTATCATATCCTACATCTGCCACATGTGAAAGGTATTGAATCCTCCTCAGGGATTACAGTCTTTCCTTGTTCTCCAATCCAATTAGAATCATATTTCAATTCAAATAGGATATTTTACATAGCACCCAGGCAGAGAATGCAAATACCCTATGTACCTCGTTGAATTCTAAAAATTTAAAAATATATTCTTATCGGTCTGCAGTGCAATCTTAGAAACGAATCGGTTATCCCAACAGCGAGAGGTTCGAATAATTCTCTGTTTGCTTCAACACCAAGGAATTTGAGCATGACGCCAGATCAAGCGTTTCATCGTCAGTGGTTGGATCAAAAAAAGATTTCTATAATAATTACTCAAAGTTTTTCACGGGAAAGGGCGGATTGTTGGCCTCGGTGGCTGTGCTTAGCACAGAATGAGCATCGTTATCTGGCGTTGTGCCAGGCGTATGCCAAATCTGCGATACTATGGAGCTTATTGTGTCCAGGCTGCGAAAGCATAGTTCCGATGAATGGCTGATGGCATCTCCCAGCAGATACCGCTTGCTGTGCTGCAGTAATTCATCAATCTGTGCCATGTGGCGTATCAGGAGCGGATCCAAAATCTCGTCAAAGATCCAGACGCTGGACTGGGGCGCGGCGATGACCACCCAAAGCACGACCAGCAGCTTCGCCTCCACATACAATGGCAGCCAACTGAACAATGCGTCTCCGAACAGCTCAATGCATATAAGCCACGCATAGACAACCCAGTACTTGGCCCACGCATTCAGCTCCTCCTCGCCCAGCGCATTCTGCGTGTGGCGAGCCGGCACTATGACGCCAAAAACGATAACCAGGATACGCGTCACGAAGCCAAAAAAACACATTTGGAAGATTTCGTTGTCAAATAATTGGTTTACTATAAATTAAAAAAAAAAATTTGTAAATGAAATATATTTTTCGATCTGTATTCAACACTTCTGTAACTAAAAAATATATCTATATTTATATTTTTGTATTGGAATTAAAGCCTACTTAACTTAGGAATGTTTAATGGAACTGAAATAATATAATGTTAAATAGACTTGCAGATGAAAGTAGAACACATCCCCCAGCCGAGACAGTCTGGTCAATTTATTTTTCTGTTTCTGTAAATTGAACTTACTTCTAGCTAAAAGAACAATCTGTCGAAAATTAAGGTCCTTGATTTAAATTAGGGTCATAGAAAGAAGTTAACATATTTTTGATTGATTTATAAAGATCGGAGTGGATATATTTTAATGAACATGACTGCCTAAATACAAAGATTCGATTATTTTGGTATTTATTTAAGCATATACAATTTAAATATAAACAAATTGCTGCTTGCTTCACAGAAATTGCCTCATTTAAATAAGAGTTGCATTTTTCAGTTGGCAGCTGTGGTGAATTTGAATTCAAAATAATCGATTTGTAAGCGTATTTTAAATATCGATAATCGATAACCGCCGCGCACTTTCCCAATGGCTGTCATGGCAACTGGAACACCCTGTGCAAAAGCAAAACAAACGGTAACTTTTGTTTTCAGAAGTGACAGGCGTTGCTTGTTTTAAACAAATTTAATCAGAGAACAGGGCGTGGCAAATAAATATGGAGCGAGAAGCCGATTCTGTGAAAAGCAAGCGCAGCAAAAAGAAACACAAAACGCAAACGACCCGCTCTTATCGCAAAACCGAGAGAGAAGTGCAAATGTTGCTGTCCCAATGCGGAAAAGTCTTCGGACAACAAGATTCGCAGGAATCGGAAGCAAGGAGTCTGCAGTTCTTCCATTACTCGGACGCAAACGAGTCTGCCGCCATTTCGAATCGGGATAAACAGCGAATCGATGAAGTCGCATCTTCACCCAATTTAGCTGCGAATTTTATACAAATCGAGCTGTCGGAGCCGCCAATTGTCTCACCTCAGTTGCACAGACAGTTGCATCGCTACGACAACAGCTTCCTGTATACGCCCGGCGATAGACTACATTTGCCGCTGCAGTTCATCGATGGCGGCTCTGACTTAAAGCCCTATCAGATTCGTATGCTCAATCGCTATCTGGAGGAGGCCAAAGCCAACGGGAATGGCGGCAAGCTAAGTGCCGGGCTAGTAGCTCAGCTCACGGACTCGGACTCGTGCCGTTTTATCATCGATGCGACTCTGTATCGAAGCAATTGTCCGAGGCTGTTTAAAGGCGTCTTCCTGGCGCCCGTGCCGTTCGCTCAGTTTCAGGGACTGCCCACGAGTCGTTGTCTGAAACTGTGCCTCAAGCAGCTGCGCTTCAGCGCCCATCCGCAGTTTCTGGAAGAGCATCGCCTGGCGCAACAGCTTGAAGATCTTTACGACCTATACATGCACAATGTTAAGAATAAGATTTGCAAGAAATTGCGCGAGGAGCTGCAAATAGCTCGCAATGTCGCTGCTCGGCTGATCGATTCAAGCAGCCATCAGCAGCCGCAGGAGCAATCATCGCAGCTGGCTGCGCACATTCAGCGCCAGCTGCAATTGACCCAACAGCTGCGGATACGCTACTACGCCGAATCCACGGCGCAGCGCGTATTGCTTCAACGCCTGCTCACACAGTGGGCCAAGCTGAAGGAGTTGCGCAAGCAGCAACAGTTCCAGTGCACACGCTTTAGGCTTAGCCTGCGGCTGGTGCCGCCAGCTGACTTGGATGCCTCCTGCTCAGCATGGAAGGAGCGTTTCGAGGCCGATCTGGCCGAGGTGTATCGTGAGCATTTGGAGGTCTACTATCATCGGCGACACATCTGGAGCAGCGAGCAGTCCTCAGTTTCGCACGCCAAGCCGCCGCGTAAGCCGCAGTTTGCTGAGATCATGGAGAGCTTGAAGGCGGAATACGAGCGTGCTTTTCAGGATCCTGAGGAGCCAAGGGTGTACCTGCTGCGGCTGCCAAACGATGAGACAACGCTGCACTCCAGGCCAAGTAACGAGCAGTTGAATCCGGACCGCAACTACTACTTAAAGCTCTACTTGGACGACCAGTTTGTGGCTCAGACGCGCAGCTATCGCCTGGAACCGGATCTGCATGTGGACATGAACGAGAGTCTTGGCGTTCTGCTCAATCGCTCGCATCCAGAGCAGCTCAACATTTGGGTAAGCTGTTAAATACTTTATTCTGGCAATGTCCGACCGAAAATGGGGTTGGAGCTGTCTCCTCCATGTGCAGGAAACCACCATTATACCCTTTTCTATACATTTTCAATTCATGCAGAGTATCTTTCTATCTTTATCATAATTCTTTACCATGTTTGATTGCAGCTGTATGAGAAATCTACGATAACGTCACACAGTCGAAGACTTGCTCTGATGAGCACTCCGCTGAAGGTGACGGAAAGGGGCAAGACGGTACAGAAACTGGCTTTCCAGGTGGCCGCAACTTCGGCTGCAGTGCGTCCCAAACTGGCTGGCGATCTCTATCTGCACATCGACTATTATTGTCCCGATGGCGCCATCAGCAGCGATCTGGACGACATACAGAAGCTGCCGGAGACGGTTTGTCAAACGTTCAGGGCAGACAGACTGCCGATGGCGGCCACGGCCGCAGAGGTGAGGGCCACGCCTCGGTCACCCAGCGATGCAGGCCACGTTATTGCGGGCCCGCTAATCTTTGCCGAGCAACAGCTGCAGCTGTGCGGCATTGCGGAGCTTCTGCAGAACAGACGCTTTCAGCTGCTGCATTCGCGTCACCAGCAACGTAATTTTCACACAAAGCAGCTTAGCTTTGTGCCCGCCCTGGAGCATGAAATTGTGGAGTTGGAGGAACTTGAGCCGCATGCAAATGTCGCTCAGGTGCTGGATCCGGGCACTGTTTGGAATCCAATTGATCTGCACAAGCATCGCGGCCGCAAGTTTCTCCATCTGCTGTACGAGACCATAACCAGCCAGTGTGTGCAAAGGGCTAAGCTGTTGCAAACGCCGCTGCCGCTGATCCAGCTGCTGGGCGATGGCCTGGAGCAGTCCACCGGCTGGTCAGCGCTTTGGCGCGCGTTGTGCTCCCTGCTATTTGGACAAACAGCCGCGCTTCCGCGCGAGCCCACATGGCAGCCGCAGCCAATGTGTGCCTCGGATGTGGTCCAACAGTTCAACATCTCACTGCAAGTGGTGCGTGCAACCGGTGTGCCAGTTCGCAGTCGCCACATCCTCAACGTGGAGCAACAGGTCAGGCGCAGCAGCAGCACAGGCACAAGCAGCGATCTGAGCGCCAGTCTCTTTGTAACACAAAGTGAGTAGCATACACATAAGCTAGGAGCTTTATTTCAATGAAGGTGAAAACTCCTGCTGAACAAATAGATAATAAATAGAATGCTTACAAAAATTCGTCCTCTCTGCAGGCCCCAACTGCTTGCACATCCCAACCAGCTCTAGCTTCAGGTGCAGCCACAGCTGCAGCTGCAGTCACATTAACAGGGCTTGTCTGCGATGTGAAGCAATCATCGACACTTATTTTGTGAGCAGCCCAGACATTCCAGGCATCCCAGCCATGAATTTCTCTCACAATTTTTGCGCAGTCGAGGGACGCTTTAATGTCGTCGGAACGCAGATCATCACAGTCAACATTGCATATATTTTTGGGTCCTCCCGTTAGCGATTTACACCACCAGCCATCACTGATTTGAAATATTCCGTAATTGCGATAACCTTCGGCAGTTTTTGCACTCAATGCGTCTGTTTTGTAGTCACTTAACAGGAATGCGATAGTAACCCATCTGGGTATTTCATCGCGCTGCACTTTGAGTCTATCCAGCTCTATCGCGAGGCTGCAGCGATCAAAAATCTTCTGGCCACTTGCTAGGCCCGCCAGGCCAAGCTGCATCAACACCAGCAGAGCGGACCACTTAAATATGACGTCCTTCATTGCCATGCCACGTCTAAGTACTAAAGAGCATTATGTTCACTTAGCTCCCAACAAGCTAATTTTATATCATAAAGGCAAGGTTATCTTTGACACGGTCATACCCAACGGTATCGCGTAGCCAGCTCTTGATTTGGTCACGCGATTTGATTGCGCTTTCTAGAAAGTAAAAGTGTTCTAATCTAAAGAGTTCGTTGAGTCCTGCCGACCTCGTAACACCCTGCTTACAATGTTAACTTAATTCAGTCTACACGATTCCATCTCAATGCAATGTCAGTCCCACTTTGACCTTGAGAAATGCATATCTTTGCCATTTGCTTGTCTGGGGATCGATAATATGTTCCCGATTTTCAAAGAGGCTCATCATTAGTTCATATGCTAAGCGACTTTAGCTCTACAAAGAGAATGTATTAGTTTCCGACCAAATTGGCTCGTTGAATCATGCTTTGAAGATCGTATCGACGCTTATCGACATCCGGCTAGCAATTGCAACATATATTATGTGCGAAATATATTGTAAACCTTTGTTAATCTTTTTTGCAGCACTTATGTACTCGAACGTGCGTCCATTTATAACATTGAGCTATGGCCAAAGGCTCTGTCGCAGTCGCACGGCAGAAGGATCGAATCCCACCTGGAATGAGCAGCTACAGCTCACGGGTCAGCCGAATGATCTGCGTGAAGATCTCAAAATCAGCCTGTTCGACGAGATGGTCGAGCAGCAGTACACGGACGAGGCGGCTGATATCTACCAGCGGGTGCAATGTAACTGGCTCGGCGAATATCGTGTGCCCATGAGCAGTCTGCTAGCCAGTCGCAAGGTGAGTGGCCATAAAGGACAGGACATCCGCATAGACAGCCGCGACTAACCAGCCCCTTGTCCATTTCAGTTTGAAGGATGCATCGAGCTAAGCATGCCCAAGGTGCTGGTCGGCTACAAGAGACCGCTCATCGAGTCTGTGACAAATATATCCGTGGAGCAATATCCCGAGTTCAAGGAGAGCGTTCATCTATGGTTCTATCTGAGCATCGAGCCAGGCTGCCAGGTGACGCCGCTTCAAATAGGCGGCCTGGCATGCGCCGAGCTGCCCGAGCTGCAGCAATTTGTGCGCGAGCGACGTCTGGAGCTGCAACAGTTGCTGCCGCATCCGCAGCGCTATGTGGAGCCTCTCGTCTGCACTTCACACGGCAAGCGGGTCTGCCTGACGCGTCTGCTGGAGCCTGTGCCATTGCCCAATGAGACCCAGCTGGAGCGTGTTTGTCGTTTTGTCTCGTTGCTCAGCCCGGTGCGCAGTCAGCTGGATGCCTGCCAGAACTTTCAAGGCGTTTGGCTAGACAATCAGGCCCTGCTGGACAGCACCTGGTGCTCCGCCAAGGATTTGGGCGTGTTGCTCTGCAACTATATGCTGTCGCTGGGCCTCGAATGCTGGCTGGTACTTGGACTGGCCTGTCCCTATGGCGAGTGCACATTTGTCATCTATCGACAGCCGGAAAGCGGCGACCTGCTGCTCGTGGCACCCACCACAGGCAAACGCTACCAGCTGCAGGATATCTTTTGCCCACTAACGCGAGTGTACTCCATTGTGGCCGCAAAAAACGTGAGTGGCCCATAGATAGATCTTCTGCCTGTTCGAAGATTAAGTACTCGTGAAACTAGAAGAATCCGCTAAATCAAATAAGTTTGGGCAGGAAACATTTCTTTTGGTTTTTCAAGATACGTTAATCAACCTTTGCACTTCGAAGCAAAATCTTATCAAAATCGGACTACTGTATCAAATACATAGCATAGGTATATGTCCACAAGGTAGCCGTGCTTCTGCTAGAGATTGGTCGAAATACGTAATATAATTTTTAGCAAATGTAGGCCCCCTTCGACGTAGCTTCTTTCAAATCAAATGCCTTCTCCATGAAACTGATAAGAATATGTATAGACATTCTGTTGTTTTGAGTATGTATCTTGGTAATTTAAGGAGCTCGTGTAGTATACACAGATCTATACACAGATTATAGCTCTATATATTAAGGTGTAATACCTAAATCGAGTGTAATAGAGACAAGGAAGCATCTCCCGTAGCTTTGTGCGGCAATCCTTCGCGTTGGTCAACAAACAAGTTAAGTTCTTATCGGTCGCCTCAATTCAATTGTTTTGATAAGAAACGTTTATCTGAGTTCATATACTTAGTATAGTTAGTAGTTAGATAGTTAGTATAGTTAGATATTCACGCACATTACACATTTTAAGCCTTGATTATGTCGTAAAAATATGAAAACTGACGAAATTGAAGGAGCTACAAGCACAGTTAGAAGTTAGAATATTTGTAAAGGTAGCCCGACGTTGAGTTCGGGATATCTTGTGGTCCAACCCTTACGACTAACGTACTTGTTTTTGTTTTTATCAAATTATGCTTGTTTTTTGCAACAGATATATATCAATATTCAGACGGAGGAGCGCGTGAGCATGACAAATTTCGACGTACAGAATGGCGAATGTTGGCTGCCGCTGTTTAACAAGCGGCAGGAGGCGCCGCAGTGTGGCATACACAAGCTGGACTATGTGTACAAGCGCAGCTACGAACTAAGCCAGCTGCAGAAGCACATTGAACGCAAGATCATGAAGAAGATAAGCGCTTGGCGCACCACACGCAAAACATTCTGGAATCGGTGGGTGATACAGCAATCAGGACAATCAACTGTTAACCAAATCCCTGTAGTGCCTTTCAGCCGCATCTGCTGCGAATCTTAAGCGAATTGGAGAACCTAAGCACAAGCGCGGGCAGTCGCTACGATGAGCCCGCCTACAGCGAGGAGCTGGAACGCGAGTATCCCAACTGCCGGGTGAGTTTCGCTTGATATACCCTGAATACCTTAAAGTATTCACTATATCATAGACTATAAAAGCTAGAGACTTGCAATTTTGAACGTAGCTGCTCATTGATAGCTGCACAATTGGCTGACTTGAAGCTTCTATTTAAAATCCTGTAAAACAAACAGTTTTAGAAGATTTGCGAATCCATTTATATCATTTGTTGCCTTATAAGCTAGCCTTTTAATATCGATATCGTGATATCAGTTGGGAATGAGAGCATTTGTTTTAATCACAGCTTTACGGGTTTACAATGAACTTTGCCTACACCAACCTGGCAGCCATATCGGAGCGCATTCGCACCACCTGCATACACTATAACAACAACGCGGACGTCGAGTTCTGTGTGGCGGTGCATATCAACGCCTATGTAAACGACGTGCTGTCGGTTTGGGTGTTCCTGCTGTCCATAGTGCCACTGGTGGGCTGATTGTGATTATGAATCAATGCATCCAAAATAACGTCAAGGGTTACATGACGTTGGCTTCGACTGATAAGCACTGCTGTCTTCATAGATAATGCCCAAATGCCAACGCTAATCAATAAAACAAATTCTTTATCTCTCTGTACGGAAAACGGGAAAGTAAGTATTTAACTCTATTTACAAAATTTTTATGATAACGTATACTTTGTGGCGTGGTTGTGGTTTGTTTCTTTTCCTGATTTGGCCAGGTTCATTTCGGTTCAGTTTAGTTCACTGCGCACCTTCAGTACGTATAGACTGTGCACCAAACTCGTACCGCCCACCTGGTACGATATGTATGCGGAAATAGCTGAGAAATATGCGAAATTCAGGCGCTATGTTATATGGATGTATAGACTGTACGAGCTGAACACACAGATTGCCATCTGCGAGCCATGGGAGAAAGTGTTTTGCCGTAAGTAGCCAAGTGCCAAAAAGGCAGCCATTACCCCATCAAGCAGCGATTACAAATCGCCTATCATCCAGTATGTGGCCGTCTCTCTGTGGCACCACCCAACGGTATCTTATCTATTTCGGTCAGTCTTCGCGCGGAGGGAGACAATGACTAACTGTAGCCAAATGGTGGCCTAATACAAAAATAATGCTACCATATTAACGTTAATGTAATTGTTTTCAATATTTACAGACCTACTCATCGGCAGTTGTCTTTCCCTTATACTCTACGCTTCGTACGCGTACGTGCCCGGCTATTGTCATACGCTTGTTGGCTTTCTAATGCCGGTGATAAGGAATACGAATCAAACTAATAATAATAATAAATATGTGGAAGCAGAGGGCATGTCCACTAGCAGTCAGTCTTATCTTACGTAACATTTTTAGTTAGTTGTAAATAATAAAGCTTAATTATTTAATAATAACAAAGAAACTACTTTCTTTAAGGCAAATGCATGCCAAAGTTTTATTAGTTCTACCTGTTCTTTACATAACAATTTGTCAATTAAAAGCAGTCAAAATATGCAGAGGAAGCATTACAATAATAATCATAGCACATATCTAAATTAAACAAGATAACGGCTTATGTTAAAGCCCGCGCTTCCGTATTGGCAACGTTGCCACCCAATAAAATTCGCCGCAACTGGCAGCACCAGCGCCAGCTGTTGCTGCCAACTCGCTCGAGAGCAAGCGACCAATTTTGTTTAGCAGCTGGCGCATTTTATTTACAAAATTAATTGAAACATAAACGTTTATGTGAATAATGTCGAATGACAAGCGGACCGTTTATGTTGGTGGCCTGGCCGACGAGGTCACAGAAAGGTTGCTGAACAATGCGTTTATACCATTCGGTGATATTGCGGATATTCAAATGCCGGTCGACTACGAGTCGCAAAAACATCGGGGATTTGCCTTTATTGAGTACGAGAACTATGAAGATGCCGCCTCTGCCATTGACAACATGGTAAGTCGCCGTAGCACTAAAATTGTCCAAGTCCAACACCAAAGACCGCTCTTGCTTTTAGAATGATTCAGAGCTATGCGGCCGTACGATACGTGTCAACTTAGCCAAACCTGTGCGCGTCAAGGAGGACAGCTTCAAGCCGGTCTGGGCGGATGATGACTGGTTGCAGAAGCATGCGGGCGCCACACTAGAACCCGAGGGTGAGACGGAAGCGGATAAGGAGAAGGTAGAGACGCCATCAACGGGGCCAGCGGTCATTGAGAAGTCGGAAAAGCGCAATCCCCAGGTGTTCTTCGACATACGCATTGGCGGCAATGATGCTGGACGCATTGTCATGCTGTTGCGCGCCGATGTGGTGCCCAAGACGGCAGAGAACTTTCGCCAGCTGTGCACGCACGAGCAGGGCTACGGCTACAAGGGCTGCATATTCCATCGCATTATTCCAGAATTTGTGAGTGCGACTTTAAATTTAACTGGAGCAGCACTCATATCTGAACTACAAATCTATACTAGATGTGCCAAGGCGGAGATTTCACAAATCACAACGGCACCGGTGGCAAATCGATTTATGGCAAGAAGTTTAACGACGAGAATTTCAATCTAAAACACAACAGCTTCGGCACGTTATCCATGGCGAATTCAGGTCCCAACACAAATGGCTCACAGTTCTTCATATGCACCACAAAGTAACGACTGCACAACCATTTATAGATAGGCATATCTGATCCCATGTTTATTCCTCACAGAACCGACTGGCTCGATAACAAGCACGTGGTCTTTGGGCATGTGATTAGCGGCGCGGACGTTGTGCGCAAGATGGAACGATGCGGCAACAAGTCAGGCACACCTTCCCAAAAAATCATCATTTATGCCTGCGGTGAACTTAAGTGAAAGGCTCAATAAAAACAACATAGTTTAAGAGGTGTATTTGGTTTCATTCTTTTTATTCAGCAGAATTTTAAACTATATAAATTAATTTTATAATCGTGGTCCGTTCACAGCGCATCTCTGAAAATAAAATAATATAAAATTAGTCCTTTGCATATCATAGTTTTAAGCATTGTTTAAGTAGTCAGAGCATTCAGTTGGGGAAAGAAGAAAGTTAATACAGCATGGCTTTTATTCACTCAGCTGAGGTCCCTATTGGGAGAATCATCATATTCAAGCATTTAACTAGAAAGCAATTAAGTGCTGCAATTTACCTCTGTGAAGTTTCTCTGGACGTAAACAGCAACCACTGAAAGCAGAAAGTCACCTGCAAGAGTAAAGACACAAGTTATTGAAAATTGTCGCATTAAGTTGATTTAAAACTAATTTGTAGTCATTTTGTTCAGTCGGGGAAAGATTGACCGCATGGTTTTTAATGGGTTCTACTCAGTAGAGGGATCCTGATTTAGGATAATTCATCAGAACAATTTTTATTTCAGCTGCAATTTTTAAACAAACACACCTTTTGAAGACTTCGATTCGGTTGCTGCATCTCGACAGCAAAAGCAGTCAAAACTGTAAGTAAAGCAGAGATTTATATTAGTTTTTCTATAATGTATAATAAATCGATAATTTTAGGCAAAGATCGTATTCAGTCGGGGAAAGATTGACCGCACGGTTTTTAATGGGTTCAACTCAGTAGAGGGATCCTGATTTAGGATAGTTCATCAGGTAAAATTCATGATATCGTCAATATATACATAATTAAAACATACCTCAAAGCTTTGGATTTGTCCATAAAAGCGAAGATCAACAGTGCAATGAATATCCGGCAACTGTAAGAGAAAACGGAAACTAATTATACGTTTGGTCTAGATAATCGAAATTATATACATAGTTAAATATCAGCTTCAAAAATTGGTAACATGTTTGTTTCTAATGAACTATACTGAAGTAAACATCATGATAAATCTCACTACACATTAACTAAGGTGCAGGGCAAAATGAACCTACCTCGATGCAGATTTGAAGTAGGACTTGCATCACGGCACTTCCTGGCGTCAAAGATACACTGTAAACGGAACATATGATTAGTGGAGTCGACGAAAACGCTTTCATTGTTAAATCGATTTAATTTGATCAGTATCCTTTTGGTTAATTTTCGTTGGTTGGTCAGCATCGTGATTCAGAGTAAGTTTATCATCAAGTTGGTTGAGACTTAGAAATTGCACGACTTAAAATTAAATGCTTACCTAACTGGAATCTCTTTGTCCAGCGGATTGGAGCCTCATTGAAGAAACTACAAATACACAAAATTCTTAATTAGGTAAAAGTCGATAATTGTGTTCAATAAATTACTAAAAATGGCTATTTCAGTTAAATTTCTCCGCATTTTCTACTCAGTAGAACGAAAGTTATAATAGATAAAAGGTATTCATCATCTAAAAGTATTTAAAGCGAATCTACAAATATGACGATGAAATTTACCTCCTTGATCAATGCGAACATCTTGTTTCATTTGTAGTAAAGCAGGCTGAAAGCAATAAATGATAGATTAGCAAAGTTGTTATGTTTTGTGATTTATTACATTGTGTTTTAAAGTTCAGTTGCAAAAATTGCAGCCATGAGGTTTTAATCACGGAAATCGTACGGTAATTACTTTTCATCATTTTAAAAGAAACACAATGCAAATGTTTTTTTTGACAATAACTTACCTCATAATCGGCGCCAGTTTCAATGGATCTCAGTGAAATTCTAGAAAAGAATAGAAAAAGCAATTCGTTATGCGGTGTTTTTTTTTTTGATTTAAATTAAAACAAATATGCATCAGTTGCAAAATATGCAGCCATAGAGTTTTAATCACAAATATCGTACGGTAATTACTTTTCATCATTGTCAAATTAAAAAGCGAACAATACACAAAAAACTTACCATCATCAAATTGAATTCCTTAGCCTTGGGCCAGAGCGAGTGTCCTGCAACTGTACAAAAATAAATGAGGTTAGTTTTTCCGCATGAATTTTCTGCTCAAGCATGTTTTTGTATTATGTTTATCAGAATCCTTTTGGTTTAGTTTTAAGTTGTTGATCAACAGCACTTTGTTCAGATTGAACTTATCATCATAAGAAACAATTTTGTATCAATGAAATTCAACAAGTCTCGAATCTTACCCGAGTGTCTTCCATTGTATAAACCGGCCTCCGACCACGTGCGTGCAACTATTTGCGGCAGCTGCAACGGGAAAATACGGCGTTAGTGTGCAAGGGAAAGGGGGTTCGTTTTTTTCAACCTTTTGTTGAGTTTAAATTATCATCAGAATCCTTTTGGTTTAGTTTTAAGTTGTAGATCAACAGCATTTTGTTAAGAATAAACTTATCATCACATAAAACGTTTTACTAACATAACTAGATTCAGAAGTATTAAACCTTACCTGATGCGGCTTCCATTGTAGAAACCGGCCTTCGACCACGTGCGTGCAATTATTTGCGGCAGCTGCAAAGAGAAAAAGGCGCGTTAGCGTGCACTTAATAGAGGTATTCAAGTGTTAAGTTTATAATGCATTAATCAGTTGGCCGTTCTTATTCTTTCTACAAGATATGAACTCTAGTAACCCTTTTGCAAGGGCACTATCATTCGACTCTTCAGAAAAAGAACAATCATCAATTTAAGGCTCTATATACTCAAAAATATTAATAGTACTTACTTAGAAATGCTGATACTACAGCAAAGGCAATCTAATGCTGAGCATTTAAAAGCAAGTCAAATTTAATAAAAACTGATGATGTACCAAGTACTAGCGGATTGAGAGAAAGAATCAATCTATTCACAGAGGAAACGAACAGGAAATGAACGAGACCAACCAGCAGTGTGACCAGGTGCTTTCAGCATTAATATACACAGCTAAAAATACCGAAAAACGAATGTTTACACAACACTAATATGACAACAGCACTTTTCGCTGCAAATAACATAATGTTAACGGCACGGTGCTAACATCAACCAAAATTTAACAGAGTTAAGCCACTCATCATACAATAACATGTTCGCTCGGTGGGTAAACTCACTCAGAAAAAGAAAACGAGTTTTAAAAATGTATATTAAAAAATGACGACTTTATTAAATTTTACCATAGCTCGTTAAACGCCTTTACAACAATATATCAAGTACAATACACGTGGGTTATAAAATTTACATATTTTATGTTTTTTTTTTGTTTTTTTCTGATCGAAAAATAAAATCGTAAATAATTGCATGCAAAGACGACTCTATTCCAAATTTATATCATTGTTTTTCTTCCTAAAAGGCATACGTTTTTATCATATAAAATTTTAATAAAATCTATCACAATATGAGAATTTCAGGATGTGCTCGATCTGATGATGTTTTTTTCGGATTTACTCGAGCACTGCCATTTCCTGATTCTAGAGATTTTGTTATTTATGTTTTTTTTTTTTTTGAATTTCAAAATTTTGTTTTTTTTTTTTTCTTTTCGTGTTTGTGTTTAAAGTTGTACTTAGACATTAAAATATTAGATACAATTACATATAAAAATATATTATGATTATTATTTATAAAAAATTGCATGTTACGGACGGACAACATCTTAAAAATTAAACATAAACATATAAAATGCTGATTCTGCTTTAAAATACATGCAAGTATGTATTTATTATAATGCTTAGCCTAAATTTGTATCTTCACATTTACTTTAAAGCCTAAATATAGGCTTTTATATATATGTATATAAATTTATATATATATTTTTTAAGGCGTGTGCAATCATTTTTTGTGCGTTATTTACTTTTTAAGGGCTGGTGTGTCCAGGGATCTCAGTTCTTACGAAACAGCCTCATTTATGTTTGACCGCAGAAGTAAACGTTAAATAATCGTGTAATTTCCTTAAGCCTAAATCGTACAATATAAAGTTACAAAAATACATATTCTTATATTCAATTCCTTATTGAGCTTTATGTTAGATACAATTTATATTGCTTTTCTTAGCCACAAAACACAAAATATATAATTAAACAGCATATTGTTGCATGCACATAGAAAACTAAAATGTGTATAGAAAAACTTTCAGTCTAACAAAATACTTGTACAGAATAATAATCGTCGTGAATTTCGAGAAAAATATTTGATTTGTGGGTGGGTTCGACAGTTCTGGGCACGACCAAAAACTTTTGTTCAATAAAACATAGCCAATTTTTGTATAGCCCGAATCTGGTTTCTATATATGTGATATGCATATGTCTAAGCTCTAATGCACTTACAAATTATTCTATCAAATAAACATATAGATGTGCCGCCTCGTATACTGCGTAGCAGCAAAAGGCATACAAGCGTTATCGTAATGCCCTTTCTCTAGCATAGCACAGTGCGCTGTGTTTAAGCGATAAATTTAACTAAACCTTGACAGAAAAAAAACACTAAATATAAGCACAACAGTTACGTATGCGCCGAGACACGTTTCAAACGCGTCAGAAAAACTGCTGATACGTCAAGTCGGGCGGGGGGTTTACTACAACTAACAGCAACATAAACAACGAAAATTCGACTAATTTTGTGGTAAACTGGCCATCAAAAAAACTGATGCATGTTTCCCTCTTCATATATAAGTGCGTTTCACTTTTGTCATAGTCGACGTTTTGCAGGGCAGTTCCTTTTCCAAATGTTCTGTGGAGTTTTTGCATTCGTGACTACGATCTTTTTCAAGATCCAGGTTCGCTGTTTTCTGTGGCGTCGTGTACGGATTCGAGTTGATTAATAAATTAATGTCCTTGCCGCTGTTTTGATGCTTGAATTGGCTGTGGGGCGAGAACGAATAAAATCAAACTTAGTCTCAGCGCATGTTTTGCAACCAATAATTTAGATCTTACGTTTGCTTGACAAAGTGATTGTGATGACTGGCATCTAATCGATTCTGATTGCACCATTGCTTTATCTTGATGCCCACATAGCCACCCACAAAGAATGTCATCAAGAACGCAAGTGTAATAATTACAATTGTATTGTTCGTAATGGCAGACGCCTTTTGCACCTCATTGACAACTGCTATCGACTTCTGGGGATCTGCAAATCAAGACATTAGTGGAACTCTTTTGAGCCGTTTTATGCGCCACTTACCATGCAGATTGGTCATAACCTGCTCGGGATCCACTGATGCCTGCGGTATTTTATTCTCATCAATATAGTCATTTAGCGTAAAATCAGCTCCGCCGCCAGTTGGCTGTTGTTCCTGGCTGGGTTGCACCTCAGCTTGTGCACTGCCCACACTGGCGTAATGGAGCTTTTCGACCTCCTCCATTTGTGATGGGGCCATGGTAACAATAACGGGATCTGCGGCAGTTTTTGGGCAAAGAGCCGCAGCCGCCTTTTTGGTCGTGTTTAGGCTTTGCATATAGGTTTTAGTGCCGAATTTGTGCTGGCTGGCGGCAAGATTCTTGCACTCGTGCGTCTGCAAATCCCAAGCACAGTTAGGGTCCTGCAGACTGAGGCAGCCCAGGCAGTCGACAATCAGTGAACAGTGGTGTAGGGGCACCGTTACCAGTCGCCCATCGCTGACCACAACGAGCGTGTTCTTCTTGGAAGAAATAACCAATTCGCGCACAGGCGTGCCCAGCGGCAGCACCTGCATTTCGGAGATGACCACTGTGCGCAGGCGGTCCGTGCTGCTGTTCTGATGTGTTGTCAGGATGTTGATGAACTTGGTCACTTTGCCGTCATCGGTGCCACTGTAGATGACATCGTAGTGGTTGCCATTTAATGCACGCACCTGCGGATCCACTGTGATGGCAGTGAGCCGATGGTGCAGATTAACCTTCGTCAGCAAAGGACGGCCATGCACAGCGGGCACAGCACTCTCCATCAGCGGATGATTTTTAATGAAATTTACTGCAATGCTTGTCAGCGTGCGGGAATCTTCCACACACTGGCCGGGACGCGGTTTGGGCACCTGCGTTTGTTCCACGGGCAGCCAGTGCGATTGCGAGTCCTTTTGCGACTTGAAATCCCCATCAAAGGCGGCCAGTATGTCGTCTAAGCGATAGGCACACACCGCAGAGCCGGGTATGGCGTTCACCGGCGTCGTAAACACAGCATAAACCAATGCATTGGAGCCGCTCTCCACAATTGGACTTATAGCCTCTGTATGCGCCCAAGATAAAGAGATGCCATATTAATCTATCAGGTGTCGAGAATATCGGCATATTGTTACTTACGTATTTCATCAAAGTAAAATGGAAACTCGCCGGGCACCGAGCAGTTGAGTCGCGCCTTAAGGAACGACGTCCAGCTTTTACCATGGTTGTATGGACCACCACGATCGTTCTTGCAGACACGACCCACGCGTGAGTAGACCGCTTTGCCAAAGTTCATGAATTCCATGGACAGTTCACGGAAAAAGAACAGCACGTATCCATTGCGTTCAATGGCGCCCACAAAGTCCGGCTGATTAAGTTGCTTGAGATCGTATTGCTCGGTGCGCAGAGTCTCTCGATAGATCAGGGGATCGCCACCAGAAAAGTCTGCGACAGTGGCGCTATACAGCTTGTCATCGGCAAACGCATAGGTGCTATTGTGAGCGGGACTATACGGACAGAGACCCTGAGCCTCAACTTCCCGCGTCATTTCGTAGCCCATGCTGTTGTCGCTGGAAGGCGCAACACCCGCAGCCGGATCCACGGTGGCATAGTGGCGACAGCGCGGTTTGTACGAATTGGTGCCACAGAGCATAATTTGGCCATCACTGAGTCGAGCGTAGACCCGCAAATAGTTGTGGCAGTCCCGTTCGTGCTTGCCCTTAAGTACGCACAGCTCACGATCGGCACCCGGGCTGGTCCACACGAGCCGGCTGTTTTCCTTCAGTCCCCGCAGGCTGATATTATAGACGACATCCCTGCGAAAAAAGATAATCGAATTATATGCTTAATTGCCACGCCTGCCAGTCGCGCGCGCGTGTGTGTGTGTGTATGTGTGTGCAGCCTGCTAATTAAGCAAATTGTCAGCCAAGCCAAAATGAGAGAGAGAGAGCATCAGTTTGTCAAGGTTATTTTCGCGAATAATTATAACTTAAACGTTGAATCAAGCACTTAAACATGCAATTGCGTTTCTAATTGCCATCGTTTATATTCATGCTGTTCCCAGTTTATGGCGACATGAAGCCAAAGCTAGCTAAAAACTGAGTACCCTAGAAGCTAGAAGCTAGTTTAACCAGACACAGATGTATTTCCTATTGTTTAGCACGCACCTTAAGAATCTATGTACTACTCACATTTAATTAAATATTTAGTTTGACTGGTTTTATCATAAACGTATATGTCCCAAGCTGATGATTTAAAAAAAACTCCAACAATCTTAAGCAATTCTCCTGACCTTAACGTTTTAATTTGTATACATTTATTTATTTATTGCGTTGCAATTGTAAGTATAATAAATAATTCTGTATATTTTGCTGCGGATCTGGTAAATTGCATTTGTGCAAGTTTTAGTTCTAGCGAATGCTGAACACAATTATACGTAAATCAAAATGTTGGCCTGCTGCTGGTATACTTGATTTTTCCAGGAAAGCGTATGAGAAATGCGAGATTTGCACTTGCCTGTTTATATGTACATACATATATGTATATATAGTATATGTAGATACATATGTCTACTGAAAAATTAACACAAATCCAACAATAAAACAGTAGCTAGAAAATAAAAATAAAACACAACCCTCGTAATGCCAATGGCGCGTTAATTATTCCGCGAATCGAACACTTTTTTCTTGTTGTTTATTTTTCTCAAATAAATATTTAAGTTAGCTCGTGCCAATAAAAATGAGTGTTTGTGCATGCAGCTCAGGTAGAGAACAATTGATTGTTTTGCTAATTCGTAAATGGCAATCGAGCGAAAACCTTCAGGCATTCAAAGTCCACACACACACACGCACACCCTTTGTACCATATCAAAGAAGGAATCATGTATGTACTTACTTGGCACCCACGAGAATGCTCTCATCATCGTGATCCAAAATCTTATAAAAGTCCGTTTTGTTGCCATAGAAACTCGCCGTCACTTTGTCTGCTTCTGCAATGCAAATGAAAGTCAATTAAAATATTATTTTCTGATTGTAAATAAATTATACCGAAATATTTTTAAAGACTAGGCAACTGGAAGCGCAGCGAAAAGCCTTTCGACTGCATAATACACTGTTCCTTTTTCAAATAAGATGATAAATGGGATTGAGTTGCACTCTGTCACTTGGACAGATCATCCACCGAGCAGGGCGTGGCAAATGATGCGAGCTTAGGGCATACAGGCTTTCATGTTAGCTAAATGAAGCCCTGAGATTGCGCCACATAAAGAGTTTCTTGTAATGTGTACATTAATAAATACAAAATTTGGAATCATACGAATAGACAGACATATTTTTGAGCCGTGTTCAGTTCTGTGCTGGAAACGTATTAAGATCGAATCTTTTCAGAATCCCCATCCATCTATATCGTAATCGTTCGCCTTGACATTGAAATTTCTTGAACGAACGACGTATTTATATTATCGTAAACAGTTGTGCTTTAAAGTTTCCCGCAATTAGATTTCATAAGAATGAGTGGAGTGGAGCTGTGCAATATGTGTGATTAGTTGGCCCATTTTCCAAGTTACTTCAGAGGAAACGCTAATTTGTTGCAAGCATTGCGAAAAATTAGGCACGATAAGCTTGGTCGCTTGGCTTTTTGTGATAAAACGGCAAGGCAAACAAAAGAAACAGAGAGGAAAACACCAAAACAAACAAGTGGCACAAATAAACAACAATAATAAGAAGGAGGAGAAGAGACTTGAAACTTACTCGTTTGCAAATCGGGTCGCACATCGGGCATCCAAGCGGAGACTGTTTGGAGGCAGAAGCAGATCAACAAGCCGGGGAGCATATGCAACATGACAGCTGGTGCCCTCGTCGCCCTGCTGCTGTGTGGATATCTTCTCCGGTCAGTAATTAGCATTGTTGCTGGCACAGTTGACGTTGAACGCTGAAGGTCTCTTGACGGCTTCTCTAGATGCTGCACTTGGTAGAATTAAAGTATTTTCAATTGACGTAGCGCACTTGAAAACTGTTGAGCCCGGCCTTTTTTTAGTCGCTGGTTCTGATGATTCAGCAGCGTTTGCCACTCGCTTGGGTGGTGCTGTTAGTGATTCTCAGTGGTTGTGGTGGTGCAGCTGGCGCACTCACAGACGTAGTGACTCTGACTCGCTGGCGGCTGGTGCCAATGGGGCTGGCCTGGCCTGGCCCGACTGGTTTTAATCACTGCAGTTTGTCATTCTGATTGCTGCCATTCTCGTGCCAGTTGCCGCTGCTGCTGCATTCACTAGCATAGCTCTCGCATTCAGTTTCTGTGGCATATAATAATTTTCACTACGTTCTGTTGTTGATTTCTTTATACATATATATATATATATTTTTCTTGCTGTTGTTTGTTTCTCAATGCTATTAGTTGATGTGCTCAAAAGAAAACGCAAAACCTGCAATGAGATGAAAAAGATTGTTGGTTAATTCGAATACTTTTTATTGTGGAATGTCAGGAATTTCACTAGACCACTAGACCTGTTGTGGTCACGTAGTTGTTAGCTTTTTTTTGTTCTCGCAAGAAGTGTTTTTTTTTATATTTTTAATTATGGGGCCAGTAGGCTTGTATAAACTTCATCCTTTCAAGTCTTTCTCCTTTAAGCCCGTAAATATGATATACTTTGGGTATTGTTGAAAATTTCACTTGTGCTTATATTGGTGTGACTTCTTATAACTAGGCTAATAGGCGAGAATAGGTTTAACGCTTCCAAGAGTTGGAAAAATGGATACGTGGCTTTGTAGGTCGTCTCCTACATGAGCCGAAAGTGAATGATTGAGACGAATTTCTTTTGTTCTTCTTAATGATATCTTGAACTCGTAAATTACAATTATTATGTTTAAAATATTCCGACTAGCATGTCTCATAACTGCTGTCGCAACAATTTACTCTGAAATTAAGTAAATTAAAAAAAAAATAAATTGTTTTTCGCTTTCCGTTTTGTACAGACTTAAGATGAGATTTAACATGCTTCTACATCTTAACGACAAAGTAATGAGAATAATTGTACATCAAGCTGTAAAATGTCGACAATCTTTGAGAGTTCCTGTTCTCGCATCACATTATCAATGTTATATTATAATATATAAATCGACTTGTTGGAATTCAGTTGACTTATGCGGCGTTTGCTTTGAAGTTTGAACTAAAAACTTAATCTTATCAAAATTAGTTTATTTGCAGCTAATTGTTATATAATTAGCTTTCATTTTTCTGTTGCATATTATTACCAAATTGAAACATAAATTTCACTTGTGTAACAATCAAAACTTGTTTCCGCGCATTTGTTAATGCGATTGTTTGCAAATTTTTCACACACTTCACACTTTCTATGAAAAGGCTTTAAAATCGGCCAAGCGAACCGCACGTTGAGCCAACTCGTCGAGCACTGAAACTGCCGAACACAACAAAATTGCCAACTGAGCGAACGGCAAGCACAAAACGCAAACAACAACAACAACAACAACAACAACAACAGCATCAAAGCAACAACACAATGTACACCCACACTTGTGTTTGCAGTTTGAGTACAGTTTTAGCAGCACAGCTCTCCCTGCCTCTCTCTCTCTCTCTCTCTCTCCGTCTATTACTTCCCACTCTCTGCAAAACTACTTTATTATACTCTTTGGTGCACCACCCTTGATATGTCACGCACCGTTTCACGCGTCCTGTGGCTCAGTGGCATTTTGTATGATTCATAGTTGTTGAGTTTTTCCAGTTTTTGTTGGAAATCACGTGCGGTATTTTCCGCCAATTTCCCCGTGGTTTTTGTCCGTATTTGGTGTCTAATCAGTTGGACATACATGAGTTTGTATATCAGGACGTGCCGTCCTGCAAAAGATGTTCATCACACGTTCACACACACACACACACACAATTATGCACACACGCACGTTATTTCCATGTGTCGATCTCAGGTTTTTTATGACGATCGCAGGAAAAGTCTGCTACAGTTTCTCACGCCTCGTCGACGGTCACACTTGGCCAACTTTTACCTACGCGAGGCGACTTCGATGGTGGATGATCTTCAATAAATTGCTTTATTGGCCAATTGAAGGTCACACACATACTTGTTGCTGTTTTGGTCAATGAATTTGTGTCTGGTATCGTTTTTCCAGCTTGAAGGTTTCCGTCAACGTCAACAGCGTCGACAGGTCAAGTGACCCGTCTGACTCTTGGCCCATTCCATGTCTAGGTTTTGTAAGTGTTCAAATTATAGGGGTCCACAATTAACCTTAAGAATTGTATTGAATTATAGTTGAGGGTGGTTTAAAAGTTACCGAAACTTTTTAATTTAACTATATTTTATATTAAGATCGTTGATCAATGTAGTTTGTCTGTCTGTTCCCCAAGAAAGCAGTTCCCTAGCTTTTGTCTATATAAATCGAATGCGACCAAACTAAGTGCGTTTATCTACAACATTTGACTAACATTTGGGTTTTTCTAGAAATGTTTTGGAATACTATATCACAACGCTTTCAGTCTTTGAAATACCGAAGTTTATATACCCTTACAGACACATGTATAACAGATGAGCTAACTTCTTTATGTAACTTAATCTGCTTTATAAGTTTGTTAAGATCATAAAACTATTATAATAGTGATTCGATGGACTCAGGCAGAGTATTTTTAAAATAGCTTGAAAACTGAGAGGATAGTTGTTGAAATAACAGACAAGGCTCACGAATATATATACTTCACGGGATTGGGAGGCATCATCTCCCCTTTAACAATCTGATTGATTTAATTCAATCGTTCTTGATATTTTTAAGTAAGAAGAGGCTAAAAGAAATAACAGCTAAAGATCGAGGAACATAGGCTATTGAAAAACTGTTAGCTTTATCTAACATGATCTAATACGGCTTATCACATGGACTTAAAAAGACTTGGCTATCGCAATGCCTTTATGGAAATAGCTGAATAAATTACAAAGGGTAAGTTAGTAGAAGAAAGCTTTCTTCTTGTTTTTAATTGTTTAGAAAACAGGTAGATATCAGGTTTCCAAATTTATTATTTTGTTGAGCTGCCCTCGCTATGCACACACATCATTCACATATGAATAAGTATTATAATTTGTTTTTCTTCTTGTTGTTGTTGTTGTTGTTTAGGTCTTTAGTTTCAAAAGCCGCATTTAGCTCAATGCCAGGAAGTGCGTTCCGCTTTTGACAGACCAGTTACAACAAATGCTGGCTGGCTGTCCATCTAGCTCTGGGCCACTAATTAATGAGCCCGAATGCGAGCTTGAGTTACCTATTAGAAGCATCTATCTATTGGTCGGCATGTCTGTCTAGGCAGCTGCCGCTGGCCCGACTCGCTTCACACTTTCAGCTCGGCTTAGCTGATAAGCACCCATAGATGGGACAGACAGCGCAGATCTGTGTCTGCGCTGCCGCACAGATAAGCAGCTTGATCAAGATAACGTCGAAATGTATGTCACGTTTGTCGTTTGTTTCGGGCTGCATTTGCTCCATCGGATGTGGGCTGTGTGAAGCGTGAGCGTGTTAATAGATAACTCGGTCGCCGCCTGCTAATTGTACGTGCTCCACAAGAAATTGATCTCTGCCTATGGATATTAGATATATATATATATATATATATATACGCGCATGTGTACGGTTTAAAAATACGTATGTCTGTATAGATATTGGCTGGCCACGCTTGAAACCTGATCTCCGGACCACTGCCATGCAACCAGTTTGGCAAGTGGGCGTTCAGTTAGTCAACAACAGGTGGTGGCACCTGTGACTTCGCCTTATAAAGAGCTTCAGCAGTGCCCGTAGACTAACTGGCTGGGGATTTGTGTGCTTCTGCTTCTGGTTCTAAAGCTGTTTTTGCAAACTCCACAATTTTGCATATTTCGTGTACGATTTTGTAATACACATTAACTGATCTAAGCGGGTAGCATCACGGCTTAGGCTAATATGATAAACATAAATTAGAGATTATTTTAGCGTCCGCGACTAGGAAGTAGACGTTTGTGTTATACTCGAAACGGCCAGACTAGGAGCTACCCTTTAAACCTGTCTAATTGTCTATATATTCCTAAAGCTCTCCAACCAAGCAGACGAACTTACAGACACGAGTATTGGGACAGCATTTATGTTCATTCGAATGGTATTGTTTGCTTATGCGCTCATTAAGTATTTTATATTTATTTTATTGGTTTTTAAGTTGACTTGAGTTATGAGTCTCATTAAGATACTCTTCACACACACACACACACACATATATATATATATATATATAAATATATATTCATTATCTGTATGTATATTTTATTTAATTCAATACTGCTTAAGACTATTGTTGTTGCAGTTGCTGTGCTTCATTTGTTGTTGATTGTAGTACGTTTTTTATTTGATTGGTTTTATACACGCTCACAAAGTGAAGAGTATATTGGTGTTGAATCAAATCTGAGGGATTGCAAACCTATTGTATACACACACACACGCATACATATACAACCGCCCGCGTCAGACAAAGTGTTAAGAAATACCTTATATAGGTAGAGAGCTCCACAAAAGGCCTATCGAAATATCAATGTTTCTTAATGTGTAGCCTGCTTTAAACAGTTGTTGCAGTATTAACGAGTATTACGCAGTCGTTTACACCCGACTACAACAACTTGCTTTAGTTTTGCCTTCTTATCATTAGTTCAGTTCAATGCACTTTCGAGTCTTCACTTTGCCTTTCCCTTCACTTATCCAGGGGACAATCGCGTGCACTGCTACCAACTATCGCTTTACTTCCGATTTGTGTCCGACTCCTACATGATTCAGTACACACACACACACACACACACACACACACACGCTGTTAAACCAGTTTAATCAACAGACGCTGAGTTTGGCTTCAGCGGAAGCGTAGATGATTCAGAAGCGCCTGCCGTTCAAAGTGTAACAACAAATGAGGTCTTTATAATTTGAGCAACAAAATAGAGCTTTTGATACATACATGGCGCAACAAGTTTTTCATTCACAAAAAAACAATAATAATAGTATAATATCTAGTATTGCTAATGGCGCGTAAAACGAACGTGGGAGTTTCTATTTGTAAACTTTATAAACGCGTTTAAATCAAACAACAAACACACATATTTACTCAGTTGCATTCACACGCACACACTCACACACATACGACTGTGTATGCGCGTGTGAGAGGTAGGGGGAGTTGTATTTTTGAGGTTAAGTGGGACACACTGCGCGTTCCACTTTGGGCTGCTGCCGCTTTTGACACTTTGACTCTGAGGCGTTCAAAGCTTTTGAGTCGAATTGTTGGTTATTAATTTTTTCAATTTTTGTTTTTTTTGGGCGTTGCTGCAGCCACCGTTTGGTTGCATTTAAATTTGAGCAGCTATACAGCTATACCGTTAGCTGTTGATATGCGCATAAGCTGCTGCTTATAGAGCGAGCCAAGTTTGTAGAACGACGCGAATTGATTATGCTGCTAATTTATTAGATTTTCTGTTCGCAGCTAACTCGTTTTGTGCTGCTGCCTTTTACAGTTCTTAGCCAGACACTCACACTTGGGCCACCGCCTCGACCACTGCTCACAGTGAGGGGCAACAAGTCCACAAATTCACCTGTAGCTGTGTAGCGAGTCGTTTAGTCTGTTGTTTTTTTTTTTATATTTTTTTTTTTATTTCTTTCTCTCCCTCTCTCTTTCTGACTCTTGTGTTCGAATTGGCTGCTTGGCCGCCACTTTAGCACTTTGCTAGCTGCTGCTTCGCCTTCGACTACTACTTGCTGCGCTGTTTACAGCGCTGCACACATGCACACGCACACGCACACACACAATCGCGCACTCTTACAATTTATGTATTTTCTTGTATTACTCATTTTTAAGCTTATGCTGCTTCATGTTTGGTTTGTTTAGATGTATGTATGTATACATGTGTGCTGTTGATGTTATTGTATGTGCATAAATTAAAAGAGAGAAAAACACACGTCTGTACACAATAAAAACCTGTTTGTTGCTTGACTCTAGGTGTGGGTAAACGCAACACGACGCGGTGCGGGGGCTGGTACGCTTGAGTTGGCTTGTAGCCGTCCTTTTTTTATGTAGTAAACGCAACAGCAGCCACAATAGCATTGATTTAAAACACTCATTACTCATATAAAATGCACAAATTGCGTATGCATTTTTTGCGTACGCATGCAGTATTGTTGTTTATTGCCACTGAACTCACCAAAATTCATAAAAAATGTTCAAATAATTATTAAACTAAGTGAAAAACACGAACTTCAAAACAGTATACTCTTTACACTACGGCGGCCATTTTGCTTTGAGTTGTTTGGTATACGTATAGTGATGGCACATGTGTCGATAGCATAAGCACCGATAGCGATATTATACCGCGTTGGCATGCCCAAATATTTTATTAAATGTACGGTCTTCCAAATGTTAAACAAGATATCGATAATTCCAGCCCACCACCCCCGCAGAAAAACACCGATAATGCGAAGTGTAAAGTTATTTACATCAAAATGAATCTTTTCAATTAATAAAGTTTAACACACTTAAGTACAAACACAAAAACAACATTACCAAAATGACTACCAAGTAAGTGCATTGAATAATATGTAGAAATAAACACAAGAAACTGCGGTGATTTTTTCGTGCGTGGGTATCTGTATGCAAGTGATTTGCATTTGTGTTTGTGTGTGTGTTTGTTTGTGTACCGTGGGTGTATGTGAGGGTATGCAGCCTCAACACGCACACAAACAAACAACATTGTACCAAGAAGAAGCCTACAATAAGCTACTGATAAGAAAACATAAGTGCATGTATGTCATTTTTAATGTATAAAAGAAATAACTCGTTTAAGCGACAAATGTTTACAACAAATGGCAATATATCATATTCGTAAATTGGAAATTTAGTGCTATAAGTTCGGGGTTTGGCTTGGTACTTGATAAAACAGAATTGTACCAACGATTACAAGAAAATGTACCAACTCTGATGAATGGGTACCATTTTAATTTTAGCAGCTTCAAGTTTTTAAAATCAAAACAGAACATTTGTATATTCTAAAGATCTTAAAAGCACAATTTTGTGCAGTGTACCTTGGCATCACTTAAGTCCAGTTTTGGTACATATGCCCATCTATGGATTGATAATAGCAATATTCAAAGGCTTAGTAAGCCATAAGCTATGAGAGAAATGTGCCATGGATCCAGCTATTCGATGTGTGGGCTCCACTTTAGCCCAGTATCTGCCCCCAGATCTGCTTAAGCTAACAGTTGGTTAGGTAAAAATATCTATGTGCATTAATATATGCATGACATCAATGATAATTACTCTCAGCTACGCCGAAGATAATTATGTACTTGAAATCGTTGAATAAATCCGGCAGCATTCCCAGGGTTAGATGTCACGTGTCAATATTTCTAAAACAAAAAAAAAAAAAAACAGTTTGTAAGCAATTAATTAATAGCTTTTACCGAATACCACTTGAGGTCGGGTTAAATTTGACAAGATGAGTAATTCAGTTATTGCCGCGCGCTTTCATGGCTTTAGCCGATTTAATAACACTTCGCTGTGAGGGCTCGTAGCTGTCATTAGGTCTTAATTTGAGATCTGTTCAATTTGTTTTTGTTGCCGTTTCGAAACTCGTTTTCACAGCGTTTGCTATTTTAAATAAAAGAAGCTGCGATCGAGTGCGGCAGTTGCTATCGAGGCATGTGCAAACCCAAAGGCTCATAGTGAGACGATGCTCAGAGCGGTGAGTTATCGGTATGTCTTGGCGGAATCCCGATTAATGTGTTATATATCCCAAGTGGATTGTGGTGCTATTTGCCAACTCGGTGCTTGCGGCAGCGGCAACGCCCGTCCCGAGCTCTCAACTGGGCAGCCCTAATGGTCAATATACGTTGAGGTAGGCTTTTATCCAAGGCTCATCTCCATAAGCTTGACCTAATCAATAGACTTGCTTGCACAGCATTCGACATCCGGATGGCAAAAGCTGGCGTGAGGAGACTGTGAAACAGGTTCCACCCGGTGTCCCGGAGGTAAAAGGTATGCTCAATCAGAACTTTGAAGACCAAGGCGGCACTCTGGTGGTCATCTATGAGGCGGGGCCCAATGGATATGTGGCCAAGTATAGCTATAAAAGCGCAGGCAAGCCGGAACAGCCCGTATTTGCAATTTTTCTAAGTCCAGCAGTTCTCAAGTCGTCCGCCGGCTAATTTGGTGTAATTTGTATCTAATAAATGGAATTACCTTAGACATGGGTTATCCTAGGGCTATGTGTATAAAAATGTCTTCCATTTTGTCTCAGTTTTGTAGCCATCGTCAGAAAGTTGATGTGTCGGAATAGATCGCTTCAGACCACTATATCATATATCTACAATTCAGCACAACTCTTTTGTCTATCAAAATATTTGAGAAAAGCTCACAGAGCTGAAGAGGCTTTTTCTAGCAAAAGCAAACACTTTCTTCTTAAAATTATTAACGTATACATTGTTCTTTAACTTAGCTCATATTATTTATTTTAGTTTATATTAGGCATAGCCATTAACCGGTTTCTTGGATTTTGTTGTATTCTTTGGTTGCTCAAAAGAATTAGCCAAAATATGTGTAGAAAAAATAGAAAAAATATCGATTTATTATTAATTTAAGCAAGCATTCATCTTTCCATTCGTTTTAACTATTGAGTGCAGTTTTTTGAGCATATATTTTCATTTGCCCTTAATAATAGTACGATCAATAACTGCGTAGACCTGAAAGTATGCTATGATATTTACATTGGCACAGTTATGCTTGACACCTTGTTTATTATACTAGCGGGTATACCACGTTTTGGAAGCTTTTTGTTTGCAAATTTAGACATAAAGCTTCCTGATATAATCTTGTGGCGATAAGCTTGAATGCAAATAAATATTTTTCGTTCATAAACTAACAAATCCTTGCAAATATCTCACTTATGCATGGTATCTGGATCTGGGACTACAGACCATAATTCTAACTTTAAATGTTTTATCCTAGTTGATTGAAGCTTAGCTGACATACTGTCTCAATTGATTGCTGCTATTTATGATCTAGAATAGCTCCAGTTCTGTTTGTTCTAAATGAGTGTAGTAAAGGCGACAATCGCTGTTGTATCCAGATTCATAACTCAGTTCCAACTTCTTGCAGCACACTAAATTTATGCGCATTCCTAGAGTCATCTGTCACAACTCGAAACTAGGATAATGATGTCACTGAGATTCTGGCACTCCTTAAGCTTATGTAGCAGCTACGTGAGTCCCAAAGGAGAGGTGGTAGATCATATTGATGATCCTTGACTAAAAAGCTGATTTGTTAAAGATGTGCTAACCAGTTTGTCTTAACTGAATACGCAGTAAATGCAACATCTGACTTTGTGTTGAGCGGTTTGTGGTAGCTTTTTCCAATTTGGTACTTGTAACACCTGAACACAATTAACCATATATGTTTAAGTACGCCTCTATCCAAGGTTCTGTTTATGCTCTTGACCCAGTCAAGTGACTTGACAAATAGCAGATGATCACGCAAGCCGCAAGCTGCGGCTTTTCTTTATTTTCCCGCACTAAGGGAAATTAATTGTTGAATAACTTTGGTGTTTATAAAGTCGCTGATTTTTGAAGAGTTGCAGAACGACGCGTTGTTTACGAACATATCTAGACATGGTTCGTCTTGGCAGCTGATGCGGAATATCTATTAATTATGAGGTCGTATAGTTAAGGCATTTGCAAAAATCATCTTTTCACCCACATTCAACAGGTGAAAGGTATAAATATTTAAACATATGCATCTAGTATACAAAGAGCACATTCCCAAAAAATTTAATAAATGCTTTGCGCTCGTTTATATTTTTATTGAAAACTTGTAAACTTGTGGAGGGTATTATAATTTTGTCTCGACATGAAGCCCTGACGGGCTTCACATTTCCCTTATATGTCTCTATTGAAAATAAGCCTTAGGCTTTACCAATTTCCTAGCCTAGAGTATTTATTCTTCGGCTCGTTGAAGGTACACGTTCTCTCTTGCTAGGTTTTTGTTTAACATGCGAAACAGAGTTTATTCTCACGTCTTACGGGAGATTGGAATCACGATTTCGCAGGTCTTTTAAATATAAGACGATGCGACTTAGAATGACAGTTGCAATTGACTAGACTTGGTAACTAGATAATGCTCGGAGCGGTGAGTTAAGAATATCTTTTCCGAATTGCAACTAATGTGGGTACATTGTGTTTCTGCAAAGTCCATTCTTGTACTTTTCGTCAATTTGGTGCTTGCGGCAGCCGCAACGCCCGTCCCGCGCATCTCTGGCGAAAGTGGCTCTCAACTGGGCAGCCCTAATGGTCAATATACGTTGAGGTAGGCTCTTATCCAAGGCTCATCCTCATAAGCTAGACCTAATCAATAGACTTGCTTGCACAGCATTCGACATCCGGATGGCAAAACTTTGCGCGAGGAGACTGTGAAACTGGTTCCACCCGGTGTCCCGGAGGTAAAAGGTACGCTCATTCAGAATTTTGACGTCGAAGGTGGAACTCTGGTGGTCACCTATGAGGCGGGGCCCAATGGATATGTGGCCAAGTATAAATATACTGTCGGACAAGAATTTTCGGCAGCTCCGGCTTTGGGTGTTGGACTTCTAAAGTCCCTTCCCGGTTAAACTTGATTTATATGGTGTTTTATTTAATAAATAGCATAAAGGTTAAACGCCTTTTTGTTAGTTGGAGATGCGTTATCCTAAAGGGATCCAGTTTGAGGACGGGGTGAATTAGATGTTTGTTTTGTTTCAAAAGGGGATTAATGCGCTAAAATATTACAGCATAATTTTAATTAATAAAAGCTTAAGTTTTGTTAAAACTAGTTTGCCCTTAACTAAGTACATGTTATTATTACACATTCCCAAAAGTATGCTCTTATAATTAGGCATGAGAAAATATGCCGCGTACTGACGACGAATATTAAATGCACTTGAGCTTTAATAGCATACTCTTTCTCTCTCTCTCTCTTATTCTCTCTCACTCACACTGAAATCTATATCTATATTGTTTCGATTGTTGAAATCGGCTTATCGTTGTTATCGATAACCGCTGTTTATCGGGCTGTTTAGTGGCATTCAAATTATTGCCGCTTGAATTGACTTGCAAACTGATATTAGTTAGAGCGTAAATCAACGGCGTAATAGACGGCGATTTCACCTCGCGTCACCTTAGCCGCCCCCCCCCCCCCCCCGGCCCACCTGTTCGACTGGCAGTGACAAGCGTGAGCAAAATTTCAAACAATGCTGCGCGGCTGTTTGGCACCTCATATCATGTTTATCAGCCAGCCAGCTGGCAATTCAGTTGAGTTTCTGTGGCACTGCCGTGTTGACTGACTTATCATCCAGGTCGTGCGGGAGGCGATAAGCCGCCACGATGCAGCTTTCGACTTGAGTTATCCAACAATTGCGAAACTGGACTCTCTTTCTTCTCTTTCTTTTGCCGAAATGTTTAAAGAGTGGCGGAAGCCCAATCAGAAACGCTGGCAGCAGCAGCAGCAACAACAACAAAAGCTGCAGCAGCTGCGGCGTCGTATGCTTGACAGGTGCCATTCGCAGTGACTCTCCAACTGTAGTAGTAACATCTATAGTGTTCTCAATGGTTTTGTATCCACAGGGAGACGATGATTGTGTTTGTCTATGACACGGAGTGTCTAAAGGATGAGGCAGACGATCCCATTGCCGCGGTGCTCTACTTTCATCCCAGCTGGGTATCGGACACACAGAAGGTGGCTCTCTGTGGTCAGCTAATGGGCACATCGTATTTCCTCAAGGATTGTTTCTTCAAGCCGCGCATCCTGGCCCTGCAGAATGGCAAATTTGTGCTTAAGGAGTTCGGTCGCTTCACTTTGGTGAGTAGGCTGCTGAAAAGACCCCCTCATTGTTATTGTGATTCATTTTCATTGCTTCCACAGGCCGTGGGCACCGATCGCAACATTGCCGATGAGCTGCTGCAGCATCGGGCCAATCTCTTGAGCTCCCTCTTGAGGTTCTTCCATCGTGATTTGCAGTCGCTGCACGATCAGTATGCACAGACCACCCAGCAGCACAACCGGAATCTCAACGAGAAACTATATCACATATTTGAGACATATCTGCCCATGCTTCAACGCAATGGCAACACATTCCAGAATGTGCCCAAGCTGCGCATGCCCAAGGTGAGTTAATTGAACTGGATTAAAGAAATGCTCAACTCGTTTACCACGCTCGACCCCAGACCGCCAGCCACATCTACCTGGAGGCCATACAGACGCTTCAAAGCTGTCAGCAAACAAGGGGCATTCTCGGCGGCGCTATACTCTACCACAACAAGTGAGTAGATTTTGAAAAAAAGAACTATTTGTGACTGCCTGCTTCCATTTCAGAGTGGTCGCCTCTCAGCTGGGGGATGTGGTGACCAAGCAGCTGGTGTTGACAGATCCGCGTCATGTACGCACCGCGGCCGAGCAGCTGAACATGCAACAGTTTCACATACCACACGGTGTGCAAATGCTGGTGGTGTATGTAGAGCAGCAGCACTATCTCAAGTTGGTAGCGGAGGCGCAGCGTGCCCAGAACATGCAGATGACGACAGCGCAGCTGGGTCAAAGCGCGCTGCCATTTCAATATGCAAAGCGCAAGTTGAAGCGGGACAAATCGCTAATCTTCACTCATATACCCGAGGAGGAGCAGGCCCCGGCTACGACCGGACCGGTGGAGCTGCCGGTGGCGAGACCAAAGTCAATGCGGCCCACCCATCTGCCGCTGCGCCTGAAGAACTTGCACAGCAAAGACCTACCTGAGTCGGGCATTGCTTCGATCAATTTCGATGAGACAGATTCCTATCCCGAATTCATTGGACGCACCAGCGTCTGTAATACGCCTATGACCGAGAATAAGGTGCTGCCGGTGGCTAGCGTTATGTCTATATGCGCCAATCCCGAAGATGAAGACGCCGATGCGCACAACTCGAATGGCAAGGTTGCAACATCGACGGCGTCGTCGTCACGTCGTAACTCGCTCAAGCTGGATGTGGAAAAGTTCTTTTCGAACTTCATCAGTAATCCGAACAAGCAGCTGACGCGTCGCAAGTCCTCCGCTGACTTACAGGACGCACTGCGTGCCATTTCAAAGAAGCTGGGCCACATCACACACGGCTACAAGACGGATGTAAATCGCAATGGCAACGGCAACTCCGACGCCGACGGTAGCATCGATGTGTCTCCTGACTTCATTGGGAGCGATGAGCGTAGAAGCTCGCGCACCATTAGCGATCCCACCTATCCGGTTTTCAATGCCAACGGGCAGCAGATTTCGCGTAGCCTGTTTCAACAATTTCTTGAACAATATCGCAAGCTGTGGGGCGTTGCCAGCGAGCAGGCCGGACAGGATGCAGAGCTGGCGGCGCTTGTTGCCGAGTTCCAGGAGTTCAACCGGGAAATACAAAAGTTGGACGAGCACATGCGACAGCAGGCAGCCTCGGCTGAAGCAGCAGATCGTAATCTAAACATAACAGCAAAGACGCCGTCAGATAAGCGTGCCATGTGTCTGCCCCTCAAATCCGCAGGCGAACCAGGCATTGTGGATCCAACAGTAACTCAGCGTCGTAATGGAGGGAGTGGAGTTCCGCTAACGCCGCTAATGGCTAAGCTCTCTGTGCTCGCGCTCAACGAGGCCACGCCCATTGAGATACAGACCCCCCTGGCTAGCAGCAAGGGATTTCCGCGTCGCAGCTCGCTTAGATGTGAGGATGCAGTTGATGCGCTGGCAGCATTCTCCAATGGTCAGCCAGCATCTGCGTCTGCTTCCACAGATGGACGACAGCGAACGGAGCTGTATGTGTGCGGCCAACAAAACATGACGCTGCTGTTGCTCATGGAGGAGGGCACCTGCTTTCAGCAGGCCGTTGTCCAGAAGATGGTGAGCTATCACGTTGATCCACCTAATGGAAATCCTTTCTTAATCTTCTTCTTGTGGCTTGGCAGTTCGACATTTGTGTGGCAAAATTTCCGCACATGGAATCTCAATTGAATCAAACGCTAAACGTCAATGTGGAAGGCGATAAGCGTGATGGTGGCAACTATAGTTTCATGTGCATCGATGACAAGTGGGATGCACTGCAGCGCAACGGACCATGGAATCCGCTGGAGCTGAACACACTTGAGAGCATGCATCACGATTTGACGCAGCCGAGCGGCCAGCTTACCGATTTGATACTTCGGTAAATACTTAACTTACACTGCATATGAATATTAAATTTATTGATTATTCTTACAGCTCACAAGACTCTGTCTTCTACGGCTACAAGTGCGGACGCACAGAGTTCTTCTACAAGGAGCCCACACATCAGATCAATGGCATACCGCCGCCCTCGGATCCCATTGGAAACATTCAGATGCGCGCCAAGTCACGTCTGGAACGTGATCATTCCTACATGCTCATGTAGATAACGGAATAACCATATGCACACATAGCAAAAAAAAAAACAAAAAACAAAAATACTCGCATGCTTAGCCAAAAACTCACAGATAATGTCCAGATCTTATATGGGTGCTGTAACTGCAACGCAGCCATAAAGCCAATTTAATGCCATCCGTTCTAATTGTAACTTACTTTGCCATCTCAGCCTGTGTTTACACGAGGTGGAGAATTTATTAATTGAGTTTCCATGTTGATCGCTTTTACGTGTACTGGAACGACAAACTATATTCAAATTTTAATCGATCTATATGTGCTTGTTACTCTCCTAGAATCTAATAATTGGAGCTCGTGTTAGCACAGCATATTTTAAAAAATATTTTTGTGTAAACTAGATGCGCAGCTTTTAGCCAAATCTTATCTTATGTACATTTGTTTTTCTGCATTCTTGTAAAGTACAATATCCTAAAGTAGTTGTTTTTAATTTTTTTATTAGTACACCCAATTGTTGTTTAATTATAATTCGATAAAATATTTGATTTTATGTAATTAGAAAAAGAGCCAAATAGTGAAACGTTTGAACTGGGATAGTTAAGTTGTGATTAGGAATTCAATTTTCAATAATTTATTTATTATTTTTAATTATAATTTGTAAACTAGTTAATACATATAAATGTCTTATATACAAATATGAATTTTTGGCCAGGGCATCAAAGGCTCTGGAACCATCTACTCATAAAGCTATACCCATGTCAACGTGGACTTATTTACAAATTGTTTGAAAACTTAGCGCATAGTGCCAATTTAAAAGCCGTCAATGTGTATGAAAATTGCTAAAGTATACTTATATACTTATACTATATACTATATATGTGTGTATATTTATCAGAATTGCCGCCGAGACAGTTTTAGCAGCAGTGTAAATTGCAACTGCAAAGAGGAAATGTGTGCAATATACAAAATATTTTGCGAGTTTGTGTTGATTTTAGTCCAAATATGAATTGAATACAACTAAAAAGCATACTTTACAAATATGCAACATATAATATCAGATCGCGATGAATACACGTGTATTTAAGCATAATTTTTTAAAAAATAAAAAGTACCTTATAATAATATTCGCATTTCAGCGTGGATAGTACAACATACTATCCTTGTTTTACTTGTCACTTAAATCATCATTTATCAGTTGAAAATAGATTCTGTTGCGTTTTAAAAACTATCTGCAGCTAATTAGTGATGGTAAGTGGTGGGCTTGCAATTTGTGTATGCTTTAATTCGGTTTCAATGTTACAGCCCAATCCTAAAGGACTGTCGATTAGACTTAAGATTCCGACTCGTGTGCAGCCCGAGGTAGTGCCGCCGCCGGGCAGGGCTGGCGAATATACCAATAAGATACATCACATGAATAAGTATTTGTTGGAAGAATTGTGTCAGCAGGAGTTCGCGCTGCCTTTCATGGAGCCAGTGGACACAAAGGCACTTAATGTGCCTACTTACTACACCATCATCGAGCACCCAATGGACGTGGGCACCATTATTATGCGAGTGGAGAATAGATACTATCGAAGTGTCCATGAACTTATCAACGATGTCAGGCTGGTGATAAGGAACTGTTTTACATTCAACATGCCAGAGGCGACTGTCTATCGCGATGGGCAGAAGTTGGAAAAGCTCTTTCTCAAGGTGCTCGAAAAACTGCCAACGGGAGAGGAGGTACCCTACGACAAGGACAAAGCCGAAAAGTCAATAATGAAGCGTCAATGTCGATATAGGTTAAGAAAGCTACAGGAACACACCGATCAGATGGAACAGGATGGCCAGGAATTGTTCCGCGAAAAGTGGATGCCCTTTGCCGAAGAGATGCACAAGCGTAACATCAAAACGCTGGAGGATTTTGATAGCCAACTGGACAACATTCTGAAGCACTGCCATGATCATGGGAAGCGCATCCTTGAGTCCTATGAACATGAAGCCAACCGGCTTATAGAAGATGAGGAAAGCGGAGACAATGAGAATGTAAGTGATGAGGCCGGTAGCAATATGTGGCCCTGCCATAAGCCCCTGTTTGACTGGGAAGACACCATAATCGATGCCCTCGATGATACGCTCATTTGCCTGAAGCAGGACGTCGTCAAATGTCGTCTGGGTGAGCATAAGAAGAATAAGCAATCCTACAGTGAGATCCTTCTGCCTATATTTGTCAACGCTCAGATTATCAGCGAAGGTCTGTGCTCGCAAACGAATCTGCCCGACTCCTCCGATGAGGAGGAAATCGAATGGCATCCGGATCGCGTCAGCGATAAGGAACGTCATGCCATACGGCAACAGTTCAGCAGTCTAATTCCAGAAGCCATATTCGATATAATGCACATCATTGAGCAGGCCGAATACCGGACCGCGAGCAACGCTGACCGTAAATATAATATGATGTACTTTAGTCCCCAGACGATAGTCCTCATAAAGAAGGCCATTGAAGCGCAAAATAAGGCCAGCCTGAAGCACGAAAAGGAACAACAAGACGTGGAAATGCACGGCGAGCAGCAAGATCCGGGAGAGCTGGATAATATCAGAGATCAGAATTTATATTATACAAAAACAAACACAGATTTTGTAGGACACAACAACCATATAGGAGAATACAAAGAGCAGTATGCCGGTGGCAACCGTTTGGAGCAGCATCAGCAGGCAATACCAATATACTACCTTTCCTTGCCAGAGGCTGACCAGCAAAAGGTGGAGGAAAACATAATGCGGGTCCTAGACGATTCTAGGGGCGGCATGGAGTGGGAGGTGTTGAGCGACTGTGACTCCGATGCCGATGAGAACGACTGTAAAGACAATGCGAACAGCGGCTGTGATGACAATGGAAACGACTGTGATGACAATGAGAGCTACGACTGCGACTCTAATGAAAATGACGATTGTGACTCCAACGAGAACGAGGGTGATGATGATGAAAACAACTACTGTGCCACCAATATGAATGAAGACTGTGAATCCAATGAGAACGACGATTGTGATTCCAATGAGAATGGCGAATGTGACTCTAATGAGAATGACGAATGTGACTCTAATGAGAATGATGAGTGTGACATCAATGAGAACGACGACGGCTACTCCAATGAAAATGACGGCTGTGACTCCAATGAAAACGACGAATGTGACTCTAATGAGAACAATGACTGTGACTCTAATGAGAACGATGACTGTGATTCCGATATTAACAACGACTGTGACCCCAATGAGAACGACTATTCCTCCGACGGTGAAATTGATGGCCAGCCATCAAGCCATGCATATGCACAATATAATAATGTTACGCACAGCTATTATCATTAAGTTCTCTGATATCAAATTAATAATCCAAGTTATTTTTACGAATTGCAAAATGCGTAAAAGACTTTACCAATGGGGAAAAATTAAACACATAGTGTATCGAAAAATGATTGATTTATTTCGATTTCATTTGACATTTTTTCGGAGTTTTTTGTTTTCTTAACGTTAACTTTTCTAATGCTTCTGCATTTTTGTTCTTATCAAAATACTTTCTTGTTTTGCTTCAAATGATGGTGTCGGTCATGCATATAGAGCTTATATAATTTGTAATTAAAAATGTAAACTTATTGTACCACAATGAAATAATTCTCAAGCGTTTTCTTTGTCAATCTATGCGTATTCTATGTCTGCTTATCTTGTGAACGAAACTAAATATAAATTTAAGCATATTAGATAAATCACACAACAATCTTTGCTGCACTTTGCACTCTCACTAACTTCGTTGTAGGCGGCTAAAAACTATATGGATTACAGCTATTTATATATGTAAGTAAATATATAATATTTATATATATATATTCATATATATATATATATAGGTATGGGTGTAGTATGATTAACATTCTTGCGTTTCTTCATTTAGCACATTTGACTACAAAGCTTAGTAATTAACCCGTTGCTGTCGTTGATTATTCTCCAAGCCTGATCAACTATGCCACAATATGACTATTTTTGTTCAGATCAGTAAGTAACTCGGCATTCAAATCCTCCCCCTCCAGCAAGTCGCCATTGAGCGAATGTGGTATGCTAGTGGACAGCACCATGCCACGACCACCTCCGCCGCTGCTTGTACCAATAGATATATCATCCGGTGGCGAATTACGACGACGCTCGCGTTCTCGTACAATATGTGGCGCCTCGTTAAACTCGTCTAGCTCATCCATGCCTAGCTCGAAAGAAGAATTAGTGATATAAGAGATGTTCACTTTATGAACAAATCAAACAAGTTAACTTACCCGCATACTTGGTGCCCGCTAGCAGGAGATATTGTCCGGCACGATTGGGCCATAGTAGTCCGGTCATTACACAGTAGGCCATGCAGTCGGCCGAGTTTGTGATGCCCTGCAGCAGCTTGTAGCGCCACATGGGACTCACCTGTAACGCCACAATAGCTACAATGGGCAAGTAGATGAACCACACCAAACTGGATGCACCCAAATGCAAAAGAAAGTCCAGCTTCTTGCTGGAGTGCTCATACTTCATTGTATTACGTAGCTCGTACAGAAACCACATCATAAACGAAGTGCTGTTCCAAAGAATTGCCAATTAAATTGGTGATAAATAAAATAGTAGAAATACATACCGCAGTATTAGAACAATCCAGCCTGGCCAGCTCTGGTATTCATCGCTATCCGATATAATATCCACTTCCGTCTGAAAAAATTAAAAACAAAATGTTCAACATGTGCTTTCAGGAATATATATACTTATAGGCAGCTCGCATGCAGCAATATTTTGTTGCTTTCCCCTTAACTTACCCGATCCCATATGTACAGAAATACATGGAACGCACAGTATGGCACCCAAATAGACATCAATATGATCCAGCCGGTGCGGCTAATTTGCTGTCGCGTCACCGCCCAGCCCTTGGCTAGCAGCAGGAGAATCAGCATGAATGTCGTGCGACTCAGGATATCCAAAACATCGCCGGCAGCCTGCATGTTGGGCTCACCGACACCGTTGGCTGCATATCGAATTAGATGCGCCGTGATGAGCGCCAGGCTCACAAACTCACTGAGCAGGCTGAGCGTAAAAAGTCTGGTCACTGGATGCTTTTGAAGACGCACCGCATAGATTTGCATCGGCAGCAGTACAATGTAGACGAGCATAAATATGAGATACATTTCCAGCAGATTCTGCTGATCGTACGGGTACTGAAAGGTCAGCGGATGTGCGGCCGAATCATTCGGATGCACATTCACCAAGTTGATATCATACTGCAGGGTGGTCAGCAGGCTGCTGCTGGAATTTTTCAGCTTGGCCAGATTCTCGTGGGCATGCCACTCGCAGGTACTGCGATTGCGATAACAGGCCACCAAGGCCACATACCAGAAGCTACAGAGACAAACAGAAGGTGGTATTAGAAATGCTTACAAAAGTTGGGATTATAATTATATCCGTAATTAAGCGCTACAATAACATTTCACAAAACATAAACAAGTAACACTGTCTGTGCTTTATGTGGAAATATAAACAAAAGAACATATGGAAAAGCGAAATCGAAGACCCAAGTCTCCCATTGTCATTAATAGCGAACAGCTATATCAATGAAATTACGGACATGTCTATAATGGCTGTGTAGCTGGCGGCAGCTTATCAGTCAATTGATAACAACAGATATCTACTGTTCGGCTACTTACCGCGGCTCCGCCTCCAGGTCTATGACGTAGGTGAACTGATGTCCGGCTATGACATTTGATGGAGCATCTTCGTCGACGCACAGCTGGCCTCGGGTGCAAGGTACACGGCGCAGAAAGTCACGCTTGCCCTGGGGATTGCAGTCCGGATCGTAGACGATATGTTGCAGACGTGAGAACATGCGCGAGCAGGCGCGCTCCCTGTTGCGATAGTTCCGATTGCTATAAAAGTCCACAAATGTCGACTTGTCGAGGACAACGAGCGTTACGGGTGCGCTGTATGTGTCCGGTGACGTCACATTGCCGTATATATAGCCATAGGATACGGCACTACGCGGCGTGGGAGGATCGGCTTTCTGAAAGCCGAACTTGATGAGGAACTGAAAAAAGTCGGCTGTGTGAAACTCGCCGCTGATGTGAGTCGATGATGCCGCCGGTGATTGCAGCGCGAGCATCGCCAATAGCAGCAGCCATTGAATACTGTGGGAGGCAGGGGTTGATGGTGGTTGAGTTGATAATGATGCTGCGTACATTGCAGACCTTATCACTAGATTTGTTGCTCTGCTGCCAGCGCCGCTACTTTGTGTTGATTTTTCTGTAGCTGCTGTCGTGGCAGCTAAATTGCAAATACAATGCCAAGGTGGCGCACTTTTGTGCATTCTGTGCGAATTTGTTAGCTATTTTTGTTTGTGGAAACTTCCACCTTGCTCACTTTTGCTCTGCTCTTCGTCTGCTTCTTCTTCTTCTTGCCCAGTTGTTTTCCAAGGTGGACAGCACTAGTGTATGATGTGGGCACCCAGAAAATGTAACATTTCTTGCAATGTTAATAACAGCGCATAACAGATTCGTTTCGGATGAACTGCCGTTTTTCTTTCTTAATTTTGCAAATAATTAAATTTGTATTTGGCTCATGCAGTTTGTTGAGAAATTGCCAAAATAATGATTTATTTAACAAAAAATATATCTAGAAGGCTACGAGTTGACTAACCGAATCAAAAGTAACAGAAACACAACCATAACAGAAGACCTTTCACTTAGTGTGACCATAAGAGGGTAAAGTACAAATACAAATTTCGAACAACGATACTGTTAATATCAACAGGCTTTGTTACCATCATTTTTGAAATGGTGGGTGAATAATGGTTGTGCATATTTGACCATAGATGGCGCGTTGTGACTGGTGAATTGACATTTCAAATTTAATCGCAAAGTCGGACGTATAAGAACTTAAAATTTTTGTTTAACCACCTATTTAGTGTTTTTTTGAGTATTCATTTTACCGAAATATGCAATTATTAAACAATGAAGGACATTAGCAGAGTGTCGGCCGCACTTACTACCGTTTCACAATCTCATTTTCCTACCTACAGCTCGTACAGCATAACATTTTTTGAGTGAATATTTCTTAAGCTGGCAATAGATGGCGCTTTGTGACTGGTGAAATGGCATTTCAAAACTTTATCCCAAAATCAAACGCCTAAAGACATGAAACTCCTTGGTTTCTCAAAAATTTGCATTTTCTTAATATATATACTGCCCTAATATGCGATTATCAAACAATAAAGGTCATCAGCAGAATGACGTATTGCAACCCCTTGAATGGCCGCATTAACCACAGGCACACACTCTACTTCCACTCTACCCCCCTTTGAGCACGCAATTCAACAATAAATTTCAATAATTCCAAAATTTATGCGGAAAAGAATGATGCTACCCTTTGGCGCTTTTGCAATGGCAACTTCAAAGTCTGCAGTGTCCGGAATTATGTACGTTCACACCCCTCCCTCCCGCACTGGCCAATAAACGGGCATCCCCCTATTCATAAAGATACGTGCATATGTATAATGCATGCGTCGGTGGCGACAATCCCCACATGGATTGCGGTTGCCATTGATGCTACGGAAGTTGTGCCAAGGTGCAAAAGAGCTTTGCACGCTGGTAATTCCTTTGAGTTTTGATTGTTGCAAAGGGGGGGAGAGAAATGGCAAAGTACGGGTTGATTTTTCTCCTTTTTTCTCTCTTTGGAATGAATGGAAAAAAATATTAAAATCTGTTCAATTTGCCGATTCTTTTGCATGCTATTGAAATATAGAATTTCTATTGTGATTTCATGCTGTTCGGCTTAAGGGTGGTTAAAGTTCAATTTTTGGGTGTGGGACATCAAATCGTTGGGTAGTGTTTGTCCTTGCTCTTACTTGTACTTGGAGCTGCCCCCAAATTGACCTAAATACCGGAGTCCTTTGCTCATCTCAAATTCATTATCGATGACATGGCAGAAATTCATAGGAAAACTTAACTAGCAATCGCTTTGTTGACAGTAACAGTTAGAGTTCACTCATATGTGCAAAATATGTAACAACAAAAGTCAGGACAAGTGCTTGGAATGTGATCGAGGGCAGTTTATCGAGTTGCCCGCTGTATTAATTTGCTTGAGATATGGCATTTGCTATGAACGCATCGAATGACCCGGCCTGACCTAATACAAAACAAAGAATTCAAACAACAAATATTAAATACAAAATGCGACGTGGTTGTTCATGTTGTTGTTGTTCTCGAACAGTTACCCAAATAGAAAACGGCAAGGTTCGCAAAATTGTGGACGAATTTCATTGAAGGAATGGACAATCGCAGACTACAGACGACAGACCCGATGCCAGACATGCACAGTTCATTGAAATGCCAGGCGACAAGCATCCTTACGTAGGCAATGAATGTTCGGGTCAGCACCCCAGTCAGAGGGAGGAGGTTGAGGGATAGATGATATTTGCAGCCATTGCGAAAATCTATTTTATTATTGATTAGGCGCAGTTTTATGTTGCTCAAATAAAAGTAGTTTTATTTGTAATAGAACAATGTCTTACAAATTATGTATCTGTTTGTGTTTCCTCAAGTTTAATTGCAAAACATGCGACGCACCAAACGTGCCGTAAAGTAGTAAATGATTTCCGT